TGTCGAATAAAATTTTGAAACGTTTCAAAATTCGCATTTTCCGAATGTTCTCTTTTGATTGATATTATTCTTGCGTTTACTCTGTTTCTTACTTGGACAAATTCTACGTGAGTTTCTTCCGACGGTGCACTTTTGTATGTTAAGTAACATTTCCTTTTCGATTCAGAGAGTTCTTTTACCTCTTGACAAAACCACGGTTTCGTGTGGTTTGTCGCGTTTACATTAATTCTACGCTTTCCAATCGCTTCCTCTGCTGCTTCTTTGATACATTTCGCAATACTTTGCCAGCTCTCTTCTGCTCCCATTCTGGTGTCAAATGTTTCTGTTTTAATTTGTTAGTAATCCTGCTCTTGTAGAGGAGTTTTGTGCTCTTCGTTGTTAGGAACTCTAAATTGTCTTTTTCGATGTACTGCGGGGGTTTTCTCTTTTGTTGTGGACGTTTTAGTAGTATCTTGCCAAGAACAAGGTTGTGATCGATCCCCAGGTTAGCGGTTAGGACTCTGACCTCGAGTACTTGTGCCGGTGTTATTACTCGATTTGTGAGTATGAAGTCTATCATCGATCGCTGGCCTCGATTGTTATTGAAAGTGTATTTGTGTTGGTCTTTATGTGGGAAGTACATGTTATTGATCCTCATATCATTTCTAGCGCAGAAGTCTATCAGTGCTTCCCCGGTTTCATTGATTATGGCTTCATTATACTTTTGCTTTATACCTGGTATGATATCTTTCCCGATCCTTGCATTAAGATATCCGAGTATGATAATTGCGTCTTTAATATTCTTGTTCATTTTTAGGCAGATTTTCAATATTCTGTCGTTGATGTATTCGATGTCTCCGTATTTTGATATTCCCTGCCCCTTTTTACTTTGTCTTTCTTCATTTCTATTATGATCTCTTGATCTCTTCCATTTCACGACGTTATGTTCCAGCAAGCGATTCGTGTGGTGTGGTGTTTAGGTTTTCCTTTGCCAATTCGTTCTCCAATTCGATTTTCCAATGTCCTAGCGTGTGTCGTCATCTGATAGTTCCGTCCAGTTTCCGAGGCTGCATCTTCAGTTCTGTGAGATAATTGGTTCTTTTTACCCCAGGAGGATGAAGATCAACCTGATAATTCCCTAGTACACCCTAGTTTGGAAGATATGCAGGTCGATTTAGAAAGAAAATTAAGTGGAACCTTCTTCTCGACCTCCTTCACCACAACCCGTACATAATCCTCCTTCTTTAGAGACGCTGGGCGTAATACAGATTTTTCGACGGCCTTGGGAGCTCAACCATAAGATAATGAAAGAATACCCGCTATTCAACGATTTCGGGAATCCCAATAAAAATATCGACTCCACTTAGTTGTCATTACGACGCGACGGAGACTTAACCTACAACATAAATAAATATAAATTTGACACAAAAAGATTTGACTAGTCAATTCCACGACGCAAATTGGTGGTAAAATATACTAATTTTCTACTCCCGTCTATAAAATACCTAATTACACACTGATTTAGCGTGCGGGAAACGTCACTTTACCGCGTCAGTTTCGTTTTCCGTGCAGTATCACGTGACATGATATTTTGAAAATATAATGAAAATGCGATGTATCATTTTTGCATATTTTATTATTTTGAATCCAACATTTCTGGATTTTACACGCACTGTTGCTGTTTTATTGACGTTACATTAAGTTTTTCCTCATTAAAAAAGTGTTTATATCGCAATGGGAAATGTAGTTGATACGTGTTTTAAGCCGCAGAAGAGCAGTTGGCCTGAATCGCAATCTTAGACGGACTGAGACAGTGTTGCCAGTGCTAGACATCGTCAGGGTTTTTTAGTGATATACTATTCGCATATTTTTATGTATATAAAAGCATAGGTAAAATAAAAATTTAATTCAATTTACTTTAACAAAATGTGTTGCTGACACTTTGTTAAACGTGAAAATAACAAATAGTTCTTTTTTTACCAATAGCGTTTTGTAAGAAATGTCTTTTTTCGAAGTGACAATGTTACAACGAATAAACGTCTATGTAGGGGAGTTTTTGAAATCTTAATTTCACGCACCCCTTGTCTGGCTTTGTTTTTTGAACATGAAAAAGTTTTTTTTTTTGGATATTGCAAAGACTAATAGCAAAAATGCCGCAATACTGTGAAGTTTGCAATAAACTTGCTGTTTGAATTCTCCAGTGTCATTTCATGTGTATGTAAACAAATCGAAGACGTGTTTCATAGGCGGTGTCCTTATTATCGAAACTTTTTAACATCAGGAGCATATCCGTTCCTGGGAATTATTAATTATTATAATTATATGTTTTTTTAAAACGCGATTTGCTAATTTTGCAAAGAAGTATTTTCGTTCCCATTCGTATTTTTTAATTGTAATTTTAATTCAAAAACGCTGGAAATATGATTTATTTTTTTTTAAATTTGTAGACTAAAGCAGTGGTGTTCAGATCTGGTGACTGGGATCGATGTCCATTCAAGTAAAATTGTGTTTTTTTTCTATAACTTGAATGCGTGTTTCGGATCATTGTCCTGTTTAAATCGCAATTGCATCTCTTCTGCATTTTATCTTAATAAATTTATTATGATTGATTGGCTCTGTCCCAGGTCGAGAACACATCCCTAGACCATTATGCTAGCTCCTCCATTTTTACAGAATTTGGTACTTGCCGTGATCTTGCGCCAACCGGTCTTCTAACATATTGTCTACCAACAGATCCAAACAGTGAAAATTTGTTTTAACCACTTCAAAGAACCGTATTTTATTTTTCTCTTGATTAAGACAGATTTAGAAATATTTTAAGCCTTAACAATTACCGACTTTTTTCCCCATTTTAAATACTACTTAATTTTTGGTCCGAAAGCAGATGACAAGTAACAGCGACTGGGCATGATAAATAACATAGAATCAAGACTGAATAATTTAGAACACATAAAGTTATATGTGAGAAAGGTGTATCATTGAATGTGATCTCTGTTGATAATGTATTTATGAAACTTATTATTATTATTATATTATAATTCCACATTTATTGCCCCTCTTGGAAGTTATTTTCTTCCAACTTTCCATAGCAACCATTCATATTTAGCCAACATACCTCACCTCACTTGTCCAGTACCTAAATTCATCACAACAGTAATTTTACGAGTAACTTACGTGGTCTTTTTTAGGTGGACGTCTTGAACCTTAGAACCACTCCCAACATTATCGCCAAAATATTTGTTTTCGAATATTTTGTATTTTAAAAAATTGAAAATTAAAAAAAAAATGTATACCTAACTCCTCTAATGGATGTTTTTAAAATAACCAAAAAACTAAAATAAAAGAAAATCACTTTCTTTTTTTTTGTAACCCGAAACATTAACTATTTTCGAAACTGGCAACACCGCCTACGTTTTAAACTTTATTCGCGGGAACCTTATTCCGCCGCGAGTAGCGTTGAACTTTATCTATTGGTAAGGGGAAACGTCATTTCTTATCATGCGCGCACGCTTCAAATAAGGGATAAAGCAAAACGCTGCCAGAATAAGCCACGCAAAAAGTGTAGTCAATTATTCGACAACGATCAAATTTATGCGAGGCGGAAGAAAAATTACGTGGGCGGGTGGTTATTAAACCAAGCGCCCACGCCTATATTGGACCATAATACCTTTGCGTCTTCATCGCGATTGAAAATTATTAGGAAATTACATGTATCGTTTTCGGCGTTGCGGGTTTCTTTATTTTGCACGATGCGGCGCAATTGTTTTTTTTTGCTTTTCGAATGTATCGGTGGTTGTTTCTGCCAATGGTTGCGCGACGCCAAACTGTGCGAAATATGCAGGTAAATGCGCCACTAAACGGCATAGTATGCGAAAGTTACAACAAAACTTTGCAACAATTTTAAACAGTTTAAAGCGAAGTTGAATGAGCGCCCATTTCTGCGTACTGGATTAAGTATAGTTAGAGTGAGTACTGTTTTCAAACTGAAGTGGTGGCGATGTTCAAACATTTTCGGAAAAAATAACGGTAACTTTTACCAGATGGTTTTCCACGGACATCCACGGAGGAATTTTGTTGCCTTTGAAAGTATTGTATTATCAAAAGTCGCCTAGAAAAAGCCCTTTTTTACGACTCTTATTTGGAGATATGGACATTTATGTAAGAAAATGTTGGGACACCCTCCCCCACCACAACTTGCAGAAATAGAGCAAAGAGCAAGTAAATTTGAATTTGTCTAAAATTATACTCACTTTAACTATCGTTAACCACCATTTCAGAGGCTCCAAAATAATTTCCAGCATTTTCTCGTATTAGGACTTACTTACTTCTTCAGAAAACGGGTCATCACCTGAAGTGTTTCTATTTTCTTTTATTAATATACAGACCATATACCATAGAAAATGTGTAATAAAATCCAAAACTTACAAAACAATTAACTTCTTAACACTGCAAAAACAGAAGTAACTAAATGCGACAATATATTCGATACAACGTAGTTAGAGTGGAGGTTAGCATTTAGTTGAATCAAAACTAGAAAAATACGCTGAAAGTGCTTTTGTTTAAAATGTTTGGTTGTTTTTTTGCTTCAATTGGCACGCCAAAGGTCATTCGGCCAGCTTAACATATTGAGGCTATAATTAAAAAATTCCTGAAATAATGCCTTCATAAAGATAGAGTCTGGAATAATCCATTATCCTATAAGTGTATGAAGATATCCATGTCGTTAAATAAAGTCCTAAATAATTAGTCATAAACTGATGAGCGATTTATCCAACGGTTCCAGCAATTATCTAACACGGGATCACATCCTGGATGCCTGGGTACCAGCGTGAATATGAGAAATCCGGAAACTGACCAATATGCAAGACAAATCCCTAGATATCCGCATAAAACAATCACCAACTCAGACACTCCGCCACTATGACACTTTTTTACTTAAATAGAAAAATCATATGCTTGTAACAATGATTAATTCACTTTGTATTATTGCCCGTGTGCATCATCACATATTTTCTTTGCAGTGATGTATCACCTGCAGCCCCCGTAAATCAGGGCTCACCGGTAAGGTGTGCCCCGACGCGGACCAATATGGAAAGCCCGAAAAAGTCGCCCCAAAGTCTCCAAGCGGGCGACAAGTCAACGGTTAAGGTCAGTTTTGAGCCATATGCCGACTCTCTTTCTCACCCTCAATTCCATGTTTTATTTAGGTTCATTTACCGAATGGAGGATTCAACGTGGTCCGATTCGGCGACACTATCGATATTAAAGGCATCATTTCAACCGTCACTGAGCGACTTTCGACTGGAGAGAGAGATTACAAGGGACTATACGCCATGCGTCTCACTAGGCCCCCATCCAACGAGGTGAGGCTTCTTTGTTCGGGTCAATCTTTTGGTCGTTTTTGTTGTTTTGTTTGTGTTTTTACATTTTTGATGACGGTTATTTCTACATTTTTTTAACGATTTTTAAACAATTTCAATCAATGAAGCAGATATTTTTTCTGTTTTACTGGCAACAATATTGATTTTGTATTGAATATCCGATTGAAGGTTACCTTAAAAACCCATTAAATGAAAAAAAAAACAAAGGCAAAATGCTACCTTACAATGTGACAGCACTGACTGGCGGCAGTCGGGTTTTCTTTTTCTTAACTGTTGCCCCCTTCAGGTCCACTGGCTACCGCAGGATATCACAATGCAGCAAGTCCAGGAGAAATATCTGAAGCGGCACCCGAATTCCGATTGGCGGTACGAGTTGCGAATAAGGTACCTGCCGACCAGCCTTAGGGAGCTCTACGACAGAGACAAAGTGACGTTCCATTTTTACTACGATCAGGTCAGTTATTTATTGGCTTTGCTAATGATGTAACTGGTAAAAACTATTTGTGCGTAATCTAGGCGTATAGATTATATGATTGTTTTTTAATTTCAATTTACTAACACTGAGGCAGGACTTTCAAAAGTCATCCTTTCGACAAGTAGCAAACGTTATACGTACAAACGAGCACTGGTTCCTCACAGAGCAAGACTTCAATTCGCGAATTTATTCTCCACAGGTGAACCTTCGGACAGTAAACTACAGAAAATAAGTATTGCATATTGTTTAGGAATCAATAAGTGTGGGGTCGGGTGGAAAATGTAATGTAGAAAGTTCACGTTTTGTGGAAGGCGAAGCAAGTTTAATTAGGTCCACTAATTCAGAGGACATTTGTGCATTGCACGTTCAAAAAAAAAAAATGAAATTAAAAGCGGTTTATATCAGTGTTTCCCAACCTTTGTGCCATGCCCTACTGTAACATCTCTAAAATTTCTATGTCCCCATACATAATTTTTAACATTAAAAAATTGATTTGTTTACTTAAGAAATATAAATTATAGGTTTTAGGAAGATAACACTATAAAATTGCTCTCAAAAAACAGTAAATAATATTTCAAAACATATAAAACAAAAAAGTGAAATTCAAAGTCAAAATAATTTTAATACAGATTTTCTATAATAATTTAATGCGATCCTGGCGCTTAATGCATGCTGGCTGCACAGAAATTTTATATCAAGTTCCAGTTTAGTTACCTTTAATCTCAAGTCTCCACGTTGTGTTATATATATCCAGTCGATTACTTTTTTTATCAGTGAATCATTTACAGCATCGGCTAAATATTTTTGGTTGCATTTGGGTATTTAGTTTAAGTTCCTTCACAAAACCAATGCCATGGCTCCTTTTATATTATATAAAGTTTTTACTGACTCATCATTTTGCATTTCCGCGAGTTCTTCTTGATACTGCATATTTGATATATCAGACAAATCCACTAATATTGGCTGCATCATCCATGTTGGGACATCAATTTGTTTTAAATCAGAAAATTATTCTTTTAAATCCGCGGATAGAATATTTAAATGGTTCACAATAGCAGGTAAAGCGGTGTCAATTACTTCACATTTTTTGAGCCAATGAAACGATTCAAAGTTTTTGTTGTTAATATGTTTCTGATATAACTGTATATTGGTAATGAAACCAAACATCTTTGCCTTTACGTCGACAAGTGTTTTATTTGTTCCTTGAAGTTGCTTATTTAATATATTTAGTTTGTTGAAGATATCGGCCAAATAACTTTTAAATGCTTCACCATTGATTGTTAACAGATATTTCATTTTAGGTTTGTCGCTTAAAAAATCACTAAGTTTATCAAATAGTTCCATAAATCGTTTCAAGCAATTTTGCAATTTCCTTTAGATAGCCATCTTACTTCATGGTCTTCATTTTGCTTTTTACAAAATGACTTGGGAAGACGCTCAGATTTGGCACTAGCTTAAATGGCATTAACACATTTTATTACTGAACTTTATTTAGAACAGACGAGACACTTTTGGCTACCAAGTTTTCCCAATGAATAACACAATGTATACAAATCATTTCTGGGTTCGCATCCTTCATCTATTTTGAAGCAGTCATTTTTCTTGCCCATCATATTTTCATTTTCATTTCATATTTTCATTGGTATGTAATGGACATCTAAGTAGTTTTTTAGCTTATTATATATATCTTTCGAGTTAGTGGTGCTCGGCGCTCTCTAATCTTTTACAGAACAACATTTCTTCAGCAAAATGTCCTTCATGAATATATCTTACATAAGTTATCAAAACTGCCTCATTGCCCCTTAAAGTTGATTCTTCCATTTGCTCTCACAATTTTCTTGTTTTCAGCTTTTCAACAGGTTGTCTTTTAATTTCTTCGCGCATTTCGCCTATTCTTCTGCTAACAGTATTGTTACCAAGTGGCATAGCTGTTACATCTTTGTCATCTTTTTCCGAAACCGTTTTAACAAATGGTGACATTGACATTGACATTGGTTTTATGTATTCAATTAACACTGAATGATGTGTGAAACGCCACAGAAGTTGAGTTGGGCCGATTGGGGGCGTACAACAGGGCGTTTTAGCGAGTTTTAAAACATCCGGAGTTTCCCACGGCAAGCGACACGCTCTGCGGTGAATCCCCGACGAAGTTTAGTTGACGACTCTAATCACCCAGTTGATATGTTAGTAACGTCAAAGTAAATAATGTCTAATAATTATTTACAGCAATTTTTTATGATTTTGACTTTTTAATTGACCGCTTTAATCATATATATATATATATATATATATATATATATATATATATATATATATATATATATATATATATATATATATATATATATATATATATATATATATATATATGTTACTTGCAGTTAGAATGCCAGTTTGTTGACAAATTGCAAGGATATATATTGCTGGAGTTTTCCTAAAGTGTGCTAGATAGGCCTAAAGCTCGACATAACAATTTGTGTTGTGTTTTTATTTTGAATGTTTTGATATTGAAGACTCTTTTCTTTCTATTCTTTTATGCAATATCAGAAAAATATCACAATAAACTATACAATGTGCATGGGAAACTGGTACGAAAACGACGCAACTGCTTGAATTTTTACTTACAAGGAAGAGAGAGGGAGAGATGTCATTAAATTTTTAAATCGGCAGATAGTACTAACCCAATTTGTTCGTACATTTGATGTCGACCATCGTCACTCGCACCCTTATCTTTCCAGGTCCGTAACGATTACCACACGGAGCTGTACAAAAAAATCGATCAAGACGTGGCTGTGCAGTTGTGCTGTTTAGAGATTAGGAAGTATTTTAAGGACATGCCGCCGAACGTGCTCGACAAAAAGTCCAACTTCGAGTACCTGGAACGAGAGATCGGCATGCAAAAGTTCATACCGCTCAGCGTGCTCGAAAAGATGAAATCGAAATCGTTGCGCAAAAACATCCAGAGCCATTTCAAAAAGTTCGCTCACCACAACGAGTTCGAGAGCATGGTCAAATTTCTTGAGATGCTCAAGTACCACACGAACTATGACCAGGAGAGGTTCGACGTAGATTACGGCAGCAGTTTCACGGTACCGGTCGAGTTGATCATCGGGCCCGATATCGGTATTCAAGCGTCGTCCGCGAAGAACATCAATTTCGACCAGATTCAGGCGATCCAGACATTGGTCAGCGACTGCGACGAACACTCGAAGGCGACGCTCCAGCTGAAGGTGGCCGGCACGCAGGAGGTATTGTTCTTTACGTGTCCTAACGTCGACATAGCTGAGAGTTTGGCCGATCTGATTGACGGCTACTGCAGGTTGCATTCTGGCAGTCAGGCATCGATTTGGAACCGCAAAGGTAGGTCCCACGGCGAGAGGTTCGTTTTGTTTTGTTTTGTCTCGTCTCGCGGAATATATATGAAGTTATTTAAATGACAGTGTGTAATTTAATGTGTCAATCTGGATCTCTGCCTCGTGACGTATATACTTTGTTCTGTCATATTCTGATGAAAAGCGTTTCTAATACGTAGCGGTAGCGAGTGCGATGGGGAAAATGTTGGAGGTTTGAGCTTACAAAACCGTAGCGGAAATGTCAGGTGGCGCATGCGCTACAAACCCAACACGTTGAAGGGTGGATGTCATTTTTGATAACGGGTTCATTTTGTGCTAGATAGTTTGTAATAGCAGAATTTGGTTTTGAAAGTAGTGAATTTGGGCAAGGTGGATTGGACAGTGATGGTGAATTTCCAGCATAACAAATACATTTTATTTCTTATTATTTATATTATTAATAGTATTTTCAGTGTCCCAACGGGAAAGTTTTTTTCGCTCACATGAAATAGATATGCAATTTTAAGTTATTTGCAGAATGAATTTCCGGAAGAAATATTGGATAGGAAATGGAGAAACCTGAAAAAACCTACACAGGCATCAAAGGGACTATACGGAAAACTGGAATGGCTGGCATTTAACTGGGAATATTATTACCATACTTTTTACAAAAAAAAAACGTTAGCAATTTCGACTCAGTAAAAACCGACGCAGGAGGAATCCAGAAGTTTTGTAAAAAGTATTACAGTAGCCTGTGGAAGTTTCTTTGAAAAATATCACCAGTTTGATGAAATATATCGGGAGGACAAAACAGTTAACCTCCCTAAACTAATAACGTCGACAGCAGTTCCTGTTATAAGGAAAAAAGAATTAGAGCCCTTTGCCGAAAATAAGAAAGATTCACCCGCTATCCCATCCATGACTCTACAAATGGAAACCCCTCGAAATAGAGAAACACTTGTATGTTAAGTTTCAACAATTTTTTTATTGGTATAATTAAAAAGATTAAAGGCTTATAACACTTAAGACTAGCGACTCAAAGAGTGGAATGTTTTATCTATAAAGAATGCTGGCAAATCTCGAGGAAGCTCGGGTACAAAGAAATTGAACTCTTAAGAATCACGATTGAAAGAAGCAACGAAATCCAGGAAGAAAGAAATAAAATTTTGTACTAATTATGTGAATTACAAAAAAAAACAATAATTCAAAAATGTGTTTTATTTTTTATAATGCAATATCCACTTCAAGGTGTGGTAGCTCTTCTAGCACCTCTTCTAAATATGTTATTGAAGTCTCGCTGCTCCGAAACGTGCTAGATGTTGTAAATTCTAAAATAAATCTCTTATAATAAGTTTACAAATGTAGGCCTTGTATACGAAAATATTCTAAGTTCATAACTCCTTATAGTGTTTTCATTATACTTCTGATTTTTTGGTATTGGACACCTACTACCTTCATTATACTTAAATATTCGAATTGGTTTTGCTAATTCCAAAGCCATTTGATAAACCACATTTATATTTATAATATTCCGTCATTTCCATATCCATAACGTCCGTTTCTACTAATTTCTGATATAGTAGGTATTAGAGAACAAAGACGTTTCCATTTTATTAACACTTGTTAAATCAACAGCGCTACACACAAGCACTGAATAAGATAAACTTTCGAAAAAATATAAATCTCAAAATCAACAAAACCCCAACAAAAATAAGAAATCGTAACGTCTACGTATGTTAAAAGCGAAAACGGCCAATCAATTGACGTCGAACACTACATATCAGGAGCGCTTTGCTAAAGTCTGTTGATAGATATAAGAAACTGACTAACTGACACGAATTAAGGAAAGACCCGGGCAAGCTGTAAGAATGAAATATGGCCGAACAGGTCCCTACTTTACATAGAATTTAATTATTTGGGGTATTACAAATGATTTTTATTACTTGCTTAAATTATTTAAAATTATTCACATAATATATCAGTATCACTATCGCTATCATCTTCTGTTCTAATTGTTATTTGTTCTATATTATTTGCAATATGGACATACGATTGTTTTGCTTTTTCTATTTTTTTAACAGAATTTGTCCAACTTTGTGGAAGGATGTTAAAAACTTCGGTTTCTATTTGACCGGGAGCATCTCCTGAGATACACTAGACTCGCACATATTTTGCATAATTCGCACACGATTCAACACACGGTGTATTTCACACGAAATAAGAATGATTACTAATAAACTTAAACTATGTAGTATACCAAACCAAAGAATATTAAGCACAGGTAGGTATAAAATTATTTTCTATTATGGACCACAATTTTACCTGAATTTAACTTCCGAAACTTTAGGTAATAGTTTTCTTGTATTGTATGTTAATGACCATCCTTGGATAATCCCATTAAAAAGCAATTGGTCACTTTCTTATGTCTATGAACAGACCATACCTGTTATTCCACGTAACGTGGCGCGCAGCCCTCAGATGTAGTGCAAGTGTAGTTGAACAATCTTTGCTTGCATATTTAAAAATTAACGATTCATATATCTAAATGGCAGTGTAATACAGCATCGCGTCATAAGAATTTTTTTTAAATTAGGGTTTTAGTGACACTGGTGACTCACTGTCTTCAGATTTGGGTTGACTAGTATTTACCACTTTATTGGGCGTCAGAATTTGTAAAACTATCGTTTTTGGAGCCAAAAATTAATTGGGACATTTTGTAGGGGTAGTAGGTAAAGTAATAATATCGCTGTCTCAATTTCTCTGTGCTGCAACCGTTATAATGTGGTATTTTTTCCGGTTAATAACACCCCATTTATAAAATTAACGGTTTCGTTTGATTTCAAGCCACAGTGTGGAAGCAATTCCCTTGTCCCTGTAAAGGTTAGTAGCGTGTTGGGCGGAAAGAGTGAGAGAGAGCACGGCTTCTTGTTTGCATCGGAAACACATTTTTATTTTTTTTTATTTGGCATCGTTCCTGGGTAAAATACGTTAATTCTGCCCTCTTTTCACCGTTTGAAGATGACTCCTAGAGGGACTTTTCATTATTTCATGCGTAAAATTCCGCAATAGCATATACTTTTTAGTTTTTACTTTATATAGGTTGTACAGTTTTTCAGATTTTATACACACCCCCTTCGGTTTGTGCATCTTGTTCTTGTCATATGAGAAAATTGCACGCACACTCTCTCACCTCGCAATGGTTTCTACCTCGCTTCGTGAGCGTTATAACCCGGCTTGTTTTCAGACGCAGCGAAGAGTAAAACTGGCAACGCGAAAGACTCTTCGAATGTGATCAGTGGAACCCTTGTCTCTGAAGACTATGCGGAGATCGTTGAAGAGGGGGACTACTCGGTGCCGGCAGGTAATGTGTGCTTTTTAACCCAGTATTATGCAACAAGTCGGCTAAACGGTATTTGAGTCATGAATTTATTTAGTACGAGCAGAGCGAGTCTTTAATAAAGTTTAAAGTTTTGCAAATGTGTTGCACGTTTTTCTACGACCGTTAGTTTTGCAAAACCACACCAATTCATTCGCTGACATGACCGTTAGAATTGACAAACTTTAAAATTCAAGCCGAAACTGACTTGGCACAATGACACTTCCCGCACGCGGTGTACAATAGGTATTTTACAGAAGGGAGTAGAAAATAATAACATTCCAGCATACCAGAATAGACGATTAAAAAGTAGTTATAATAATAAATATAAATTGCCCATAAGACATGGATTTTTTCTGTTTTTTCAAGTTTTATTGTTTCCTTTAAACCAATATTTCCTTATTTTATATAATTTATTTATTGTATAGAATAAAAAATTCTTAGTCTAATGAAAATGTGAGATTCCGGATATGCACAAATTTTATAAAACTTTGAGACAATAATTTATTTATTTTTTATTTCTCGTTCTTAACCCTCCATATATATTTATATAAAGCAACTATGAAGGAAACAGGAGCAGAAGCTGAATAATACATTCCTTATAATAAAAATGTGTATTTTTTGAACTGTTAATATACCAAAATTGTTAATTTATATACTATATAAAGATTCTGTGGATCCAATAGATGCGGTCTAGACCGCGGATTTTATTAAAAAATATATAGCAAAGCTTATACTTATAATATTTACATATTTTTTTCTTTTAAGTGTTTTTTGTAACACATTGACACGTTTGTCCAATAAATCTCTTACAGACTTTTAGTCAATCGACAACCCTAAGTAAAATATGAATATTTAAAAAATAATTCGTAAAATTTTTAGTTGATTATTTGAAAAACTGAAGCCTTATCTTAAAAATATGTAAATGCTGCATACACTAAATGTACCTTTGTTATCCTTTGGAAACGCAAAATAAATTTGATTCTTTATCTATAAAAGACGGACAAAAGCAATAAGCAGCTCTTGTCCATTTGACCCATTTAGACAATGTTTCAGATTCAGAAGCTATTGGGAAAGTCTGTCGTCGGTCTGCAGGGTAAACTACACTAATCACAAGCCCAAGATAAAACTAATACCTACTGACAAAACACAATAACGACAAGAATTAATCTAAAATTAGTTCTTAAAACGTTACAAACGTGTACCTTTTGTTTTCGTCGAGTTTTCCGCTTATAAAATGAACGAAATTTGGACCTGTCAAACTGGCATTCTTTCGGTTCCGTATTTTTGTTCCCTCGGGACAATGATAACTTTTAAGTATAAATGGCAAAAAAATGTATTTCGCTTTTATAGGATATTATTAAAATTTCTCCATAGTGAAAAATTACGAGCTGATGCGCGCGCAGATCGAACTCGGCGAGATTTTGGGCGAAGGTCAATTCGGGGACGTTCACAAGGGCACCGTCGCCACCAAGGACGGCGCCGTCATTCCGGTGGCGGTGAAAACGTGCAAAGGCGACGCCGACCTCGCGACGACCGAGAAATTCCTTGAGGAAGCCTGTGAGTTAACATTTATACGTGTAAAGTGATAATGTTGCCAGTTTTGCTTGATTAATTGCGAGTTAATCGCCAAGAGTCAGTAAATTAGATCGTGCAATAACATCTGTGAAATTATACGCTCGGTATTGAAATAAATCGATTTTAGATCAATTTATAGGACGGATTTGCGAGTTTTTAACCTTTTTTTTTCAATAGCCAGTTCACGATATCTTAACACCCTTACATTTTTCTGAACCATTTTTTTTTGGGGAACATCACAAATGATCGAATGTTCACATGACCGAAAATCCCGAGCGGCGTTCGGTTCCGTTTCGGAAAGTCTCGGTGCGTCTCGTCTCGCGAGGGATCTCGATGTAGCAGACGCTCAAATGGTATACTAGATAGGTATAATCCGAATACGAATTAGGAAAAGGGTGCTTGTTTTAAAGATACATTCAAAAGAATATTTTTTATTACAGCCACCGGCTAAGGTAAAAGTTGACATCTTTCAAATCAAATTTATGAATGACAAAACAAAATAGGTAAGGATGATGGGAATAAAGCTGACTGAATTCATTGTGGAATTTGTCCTAGCCAGTTGCGAGTGAGTCTTGGGGTAATACACATTTATGGGTCCCTACCCTTAGGCTGCTTTACAAATAAGATGGGGCGTTTCCCATAGCCACATGAGAATCACATAAAAATAGACTTATGGTGCTACAAAAATACTTTAAATCTGCAGCATATCGTGGACCTGGCTTCTGGACTCACGGCCCCAGAAATGTCCCTAATGGCCGCACCAAATCTTTTGTTATTGCATTGGTGTAGCAAAAAATATTTGTACTGATTGTTCTCTTTTCTGATGTAAAACTGTTCAAATGGATGAAATGAAACAAAAATTTTAATAATTATTCCCAAAACATAATATAATAATTTTTTTCCATCGACATTTCCTTGTATTTGATGTACAATCCACTGTGTCTTGTCCAAGTAAAAGCCTATAATAATAACATTTTTTATTTTTGTGTCAAAGGTAACCTCTACCTTTATACACCTTATTAGCAGTTACCAGTAATTTTTTTAATAAACGTCAAATATATTTATTTATATATATATATATATATATATATATATATATATATATATATATATATATATATATATATATATATATATATATATATATATATATATATATATATATATATATATATATATATATATATATATATTTCTAGTTTGTGAGTTCTTGGATCCTTTTCACTTATATATTCTTAAGAAATGGTTCTTGGGTTTTTTTTGGTCCTTTTTTAGTGAAATTAAAATAAGTTTGTCGATTTACATATTCAATATGTCTGTTGTGAATGTTGTAAAACTGTAAATTACCAAACAATTATATAGTGAACCGTTGTTTTTTGGCTTAAGGTTAAAATTAAATGTCCGAAGAAGGTCTTGAAAACCGAAACGTCACAAAAAATAAAATGTTTCACAAGTAACGGAAATTTATTTTAATTTCACTAAAAAAGGACCAAAAAAAACCAAGAACCATATATATATATATATATATATATATATATATATATATATATATATATATATATATATATATATATATATATATATATATATATATATTGTTATTTAATATTTCTTGGTGGTTCCTATTAACTTATATAAAGGTAGAGGTACCTACCTATAAAATACTTTCTAGAAAAAAATCAAAATTTATGCCCATATTTGATGAAGGGTAGGTCCAACAAATTGGTTAATATGCTTTCATACAGGACCTTGCGACAAAAAGGGCTCGTGCCAAGCTTTTGTGCCAAACTGTATAACCAAATGAATATCTAGGTCACTCGCTTGCTCCCAGAACTCTAGTCAAGTCTTTCAGTTCTACATCTACATTCGATTGCCTCTACTTCTGCAACGAAAGAAGATTTTCGGTCATTTGAACATTCGTTCATTTGCTACCATTTCATTTTTTCTGCTAAATTACTGATATTTTATGTTTTACTAACATAAGCCTTTGAATTGAAAGTTAAGAGTTTGTCCGAAACAGTCGAAGAATTTAGAAAACGTCATATGTTTCGGTTTCATTAGATATCATGCAGAAATTCGATCACCCCCACATCATAAAGCTGATAGGAGTGTGTTCCGACTCGCCCGTATGGATCATCATGGAGCTAGCCAAGCTGGGCGAACTAAGGGCGTATCTGCAAAATAATAAGCACATCTTGGACCTCGCCACATTGTTGCTGTACGCATTCCAGCTGTCTACCGCTTTGAGCTACTTAGAATCTAAGAAGTATGTACATAGGGATATCGCCGCTAGGAACGTTCTGGTTAGTTCCGATAGGTGAGTCGCTTTTTTTGAGTATGTATGCATGTGTGCATTTTCCGGTTTTTATAAATTTTTTTGTTTGTTTATTAAAATTAATGTATAAACGCTATAAAATTATATGAAATGTCAGTCGATTTTCAGTTGTTTATTTGTCCTTGAAAGGAGTGTGTTTATTTTTCTTGAAATATCTAGTTTCACGGAGCAAGTTACAAAAAAAAAGTTTTGTAATAAGGTTTTTAAGAACCCTTTAAAAAGCATGTTAAAAACTCTGAAGCAACCTACACCAAAGATTATATATATTATCAAACTTAAAAGTGTTTTGGTATTTGTCGAACGTCTTATAAAACTTGTAACACCAATGGTTTTATAAAATGGTATAAAACCATAAAAACTCTCAAAAAAGTTAAATTAAGTTAAGTTATAAATAGCCCTTTCCTAAACCTTGAGCTTACGTATAAGAAATGCCTTACATCTATGTCATTTTTGATAACAGAAATCAACATATAATTGAAAACGACTCAAAACAGGCATTTTTAAAAACTATTAATGGGATAACGAAGAATATAGAAAAAATCTATATACGCTACTGCAGTTGATACAAAAAAGTGCCCAAAAAATGTTTTCTCGGTATCATAAATAAAAAATTCATTGTCAATTACACCCACCCTGTGAAATTTCCCCCTTCCCACATTACATTCCAAGCGCGCCGCAGTGTTGCCAAGTCAGTAAATGTTACGTTCCACAAGCAAGACCTGAAGATTTCTTATGTTTTTATAGATTTTTCCGCAACATGGATATCATTTTTGCGAAAAAGGTGGAATCAGACTGAATTAAATAATGCTAGGCGGTTTCTTTTTCAATTGGGACGCATATATACAAGTGATTCAATTCTAGATGCGTCAAACTCGCTGATTTCGGTCTGTCACGGTGGATGGGCGAGGACCAGAGTTACTACAAGGCCTCTAAGGGTAAACTGCCCATCAAATGGATGAGCCCGGAGAGTATCAACTTTAGGCGGTTCACGACCGCCAGCGATGTGTGGATGTTCAGTAAGGGCTTGACGTCTAGTCTGTGAGAGACATGTTCCCACAATTGTGTCTCTTTTCTCTGTCCTCAGGTGTGTGCATGTGGGAAATCTTAATGTTAGGCGTAAAACCATTCCAAGGCGTGAAGAACAACGACGTGATCGGAAAGATCGAGAACGGGGAGCGACTGGCGTTGCCGCCAGATTGCCCGCCTCGCCTCTACTCGCTGATGTCGCAGTGTTGGGCGTACGAGCCGAGCAAACGGCCAAGTTTCAAGGACATCAAGGAGATTTTGCAGGAGATCCTGGTGGAGGAGAAGCGGGCGCAGCAAGAGTGCTCGCGGCGGGAGACGAGGAGGGCGGCGGCGATGTCGTGGGGACCCGCAGATGAGTGTTGCCCCCCGCCGAAGCCAAGCAGGCACCCCATGCAAGGTTTGTGAAGTAAATCGAAAACGTCTATTCCTAATTTTTTTTTATTCATATTTTGTTACTTTAAAGCTGACTTATTTGAGACGTTGGTAATCAAATTTTTTGTGAGTTTTGGTTAGTTTTCGCGGAAGAACATTATTAAATAATGAAAAAATGGACTATATGTATTTTTTCAAAATTTTGGGAAATGCCTTGGATTTAGTTCTTTAAATTTTTGGTTAATTAATTTGTCTTTAGTGAATAAAATAAACATGTCATGTGGTCATGCTCCAAGTAATTCCCGTTAACATGTCAAAAACTGTCTAGGTTGTGATTAATTAATTTATTTGTTAGCCGTTTAATTATCTGGTGGACCATTCTATTGGTCTTATAGAAAAATTTTTGTCGACCCGCTTGAATTTATCTGAAGACGCGAAAACTCGTTCGGTTATTAGATTTTTCTCATTTCGACAGCGCTCGACGCGTCGTTGCTGTCGTCTTCGCTGGACGCTGCGTCGGACCCGGTGCCGCAGACGTACATCATCGCGCAGAATCCCGAGGTGCTCGCGCATCTGATGCGCGAGAACGAAAACAGGGGCGTGACGCCGGCCATGTACACCGTTCCCGCATCGGTATTTAACACGGTAGCGGTAGATTTCGAGCGCAAAGATCGCGTCCCGGAACCCGTCCTCAAAACCTGCCCGATCCCGATCCAAAACCTCCAGAAGTTAGATCCCGAGGTGCCACCCACTGAAACAAAAAAAAATACCGTGGATAGGACACCGTCCAGGGCGAGTACCGGTCCTTCGACGCCCCTGATGGGATCTTTGGAACGGAAACAACCGTCCTCTAAATATAACTCGCTCGAGAAGAACGGTCGCGTGGTCTATGGATCGCGAGGTAGCCTGGATAAGGCTGGGCCGCCACCCTTGCCGTTTAGTGCCGGGTCGTTGGAGAGGAGGTCAAAAAATTCTCCGCCGCCGCCGCTTGGTGGCGACCCAATCGAATGTCATTTCGATTTCGTCCCGGTTTACCATCCCGACCCTGTCATGTACGAGTATGGCGAGACCGAGGGGGCGAGGCCTCAGTACGTCGAGGAGTGCATTTATGATTTCGGTGGCGACGACGTCAAGAGCTGCGCGCGCAAGCGGCAGTTTTTCGTACAGCCACCAACCTCCCACCAGCAACAGGTTTGGTGGACGCATGCAGCATGACGCTTGGTTGGTGGGCGTTCCCGCCGTTTTCGTGCCGCATGCGCGGTAGCGTTTTTTTTTTCTTTTGCGTGCATTTTGTTTTGGCACCTTATTTCATCTCCCAGTGGCTGTCGATCGACAGTGACGTCGTTTTATTCGTTTATTTTTGGGTGGGTGTCGGAGATTTGCTGTTTTGTTTTTTGCTCTGACGATAGAATTTTGTGGATTTGGCTCAAAAACCATACTGATGCGTAGTTGGTTTGGTAGTAAAATTATTTTTTGAGCATCTTTGTTGGGAGTTGTGTGTGTGTGTGTGTGTGTGTGTGTGTGTGTGTGTGTTGTGTGTGTGTTGTGTGTGTGTGTGTGTTGTGTGTCTGTGTTTGTGTGTGTGTGTGTTTGTGTGTGTTGTGTGCGTGTGTGTTGTGTGTGTGTGTGTGTGTGTGTGTGGTGTGTTGTGTGTGTGTGTGTGTGTTGTGTGTGTGTGTGTGTTTTACTTTTTTGCATCGTTCTTGAATAGTGTTTTCAGGTCCAGTTACCAGGAATTGGTCGATTTTAGAGATTTTTATTATCTCTCAGTAAAATCATCTAGTTAGATGTTCGTGACGTCAGTCAGTGAAAAATGTGCTTTATGTTTTATGGATTTTCATCATTGAGAATGTTTATTGCTGAATATGGGTAATTTTCGCTCAATAAACTGATTGTGGTTTTGGGTTACATTGCTTTGGTTATTAATTTTTGTTATCTGAAAGTCGTTGCCGAAGAAAATTTGTCCTAAGTCAATATTCACGTATTGGTTTTTCAAACATCAGGGGACTTCTGAATATTTTATTTGTCTACAGACATATTTCACAACTAAGTTCGAATTTTGGATTGCATCTAGTCCTTATCATTTGTCCGATACGTTATCAGCTGCATATGCGAATTGTATTTTTTCTTATCTAAAACGATAACAAGCCAGTTCAAACGTAACGTTCAAAGTAAGTGAATCAAGTGCTGCGAAGCGGTGATATTAATATGCTAAGTTGTTGCACGGCTTGTGGTGGTCGCGACGGGCCGGAAGACGAATCCCTGGTCGATTACATCGAGAACCGGATATGGGAGCCCAAAAATCGAGCAAAATTCGAATCCGAATTTCGGGTGACCACGAACGAAACCTTAAACACCCACCGTTTGAATATTTGCAAGAACCAGTTTAAAATTGTCGCGATAGAGAAGAGACAAGGCCGATTGGAGGAAGAAATAGCCGGTTTCAAATACGAGTTTGGTAAATTGCAGTCGATCGTCGAGGAGAATTTAATTTTGAGGTTAAGTCGTATCGAACGCCGGCCCGAGGTACTTCGGTGTGTTGGAGGGTGGGGGTCTTGTCTAACAATTGGTCTTTTCAATTACTTTATGTTTCCAATTTCCAATCCTGATTTTGTAGTAATTTAAGTTTTTGTTTTTTTGTGACAAGAGTTGTGCTAAACATTATGAAAACAAATATTAATAGATATTTCCAAGTAACTTAACTTTTTATATAAAGAATGATATATTAAAAATTAATTGACAATAATTTATTCTTAAAAGCTGTTAACATTGTTTTTCATTAAAAAGTTGTAATTCCCAAACCAATGAATATAATGCTCGTTTTTTATGATAAAAGAATTATCTGTCAGTAAATAAAAACAAAATTAAATTTTAGACGACTAGTTCAATATATAGAAATCAAGTGGTCAGTATTTTTTTTTAATTTTATTTTTTCTGATAATTTTATTTCTAACAATTGTGTGGATTTTTCTTAACTGCCACATACCAGTGTCCTAAATTGTTTTAAACTTTTTGCTTTTTTTTTTCATGTTTTAATAGAAGAGTTTGGAGCCCCTTTTTTTGAAATTTCGGTATTGTGTTAGCTACACTTTAGAATTTTTTTAGATCAGTTCTCTAGGCTTGTGTATTGCGCGACTACGACGACAAGACCACTTGCGTAGTAGTTTGGATGCCCCTCCGTCACTTTTCTTTTTTTTCTTTGTTTGCGTTTGGTTTTTCTGTTGGTGCACGTGACAGTTTTTGATAGACTTTTTTGGCGAATGCGTTGCAATCCACAGTAGCTATAAGTTTTTCCCTTTATCCGCCTCTCCCGTATTTTTGCGTTGCGTGATTACTTTGCGTGGGCGTGGCAAAAATCACCCAAGCGACCACTAAATGTAATTAATTTACTATAAATAATTACTTAAAGTCTTTTGTCTGCCAGTTGCTTTTTCAAGATTTAAAGGGGTTTTTAATTAATTTTCACTAACCAAAATAAGATATAAAAAGGGAAAATATGTATATTTTACTTGAAACACTCTCTGGAACTTAATAACTAAAATAGTTAATTGGACATATTCCCAAAGCGCTCAATTTTAAATTTACATTTTTAGGTATATTAAGCTTCAATTTTTATTACTAAAGCTCTCGATATTGTAGTTACTTTCAAACTAGATTCACAATCATTTTAAATCGAAATACGAAAATTGCCATTAAAAGAGTATTAATTAACAATAAACTTTTTAAAGTAAGAAATAATAATAAGTATTAGTTCAGCAGAAAGTGATACTTTGCCGCGTCAACTTCAATTCGAAAGTTCCACCCATCGTCTGACGTAACTATACTCCACAGCCGGCTTCCCTCTACGGCGATCAGCTGCTCGAAAATCTCAAGTACCAACCGTCGAGCCATTTCAGTCACCAGGTGCTCGAGCAGAGGCTACGACAGCAACAGCTTGAATCCGAAGAAGACTCTAGGTGGCTCGCCGAATCGGAAACGAATTTGGTAAGCGTTAGCGCACGGGTTTCAACGTTTCTCGTCGTTTAGAACGACTTTATCTTAAAAACAAAAAAACACTGTCGCACCTTAATTTTGACTAAAAAGGGCTTATATGAAAACTCTCTTATCTCTACTCTATCGAAAACGAAAAATCAACGCGAATTCTGGTTTAATAATCATGATAACAAAAAGAATTCAACCGTTTACGAGTGGGAGGCTTTTCTCTGTTCGACATACTTGTTTCGTGTCATAGATTACACACATTTCTTCGACGCTTCAGATCCTTTACTTGATTCTAGTGTAACTGTCGATGATATCAAAACAATTTTAAAACAATGTAAACCTGGCATGGATCTAAAACCGTACGAATTTTTAAATAATCTACCCTTTAAGAAGTGGCGACAGTTAAAATTAAGGCCGACGATGACTTCACTAAAATGTTGGATGTCACTGAGGGTGTCCTTCTGACCGCATTGCTTAGCCCTCTACCTTTTTCCCTTGGTCTTGCTAATATTGACTACTTTTCTTCAATGGATTGAAGTTGCATAGGTTCAACTTACTGGCTTACGCACACGCTGTCGTTTTATTAGCTGAATCACAGAGCCAATTACAGAAAATGTTGATTTGTCTGGCCAAGTACGCCAACGAAAATTCTGTTGCAATCAATACCAAACAAACTAAAGTTATGCGCTTTAGTAACTCCCCTTTTGCAACTAAGTCAAAGCTCTTCTTGGCTGATTCAAGGCTAGATGTGGTTAAAACGTTTAATTACGTTGCTGTGACATTCTCTTCTTTCTCTTTGTTAAGGGAAATGGCAGGCACAACAGTTTCGAAAGCAAGTTAGGCAGCGGGGACCGCATCGTCGATGCTGAGAAAGAGTAGGCTTTCCTCTTGGGACGCAATTTAAAAAATATACCAAACAACCATCTTAAATAATTTTTCCGGATGTCTTCCAGTTTGGCGCATACGTTATACCGACATACTTGAGCTAGTAGAGACCAACTTTGAAAAAAGATGATTTGATGATACTCCCTAAATCAACTTCACACACACACTTAATTTACCAAACCTTTAAATCTTGCCACAGTTTTCTTATGAAACTGTAAAGAATGGACCAAGGTCGTCTCCCGAGCTATCTCGATCAATCAAAGCACACCAAATTCAACTGGGCATCTCAGATTAGAGAGCTGTTTTGTGAATTGTGTTGTGGTGAGATGTCAACATTACAGCCCGTTCACAGTACACGAATTTTTACTCAGGTTTGCACCCTCTGATCTACCACCCAGCTATTTAAATTGCCAATGTCCATTTTAATAATTATCGCACAACTAAGATTGAGTAATAACGTTTTTTTGAAATTCTCCTATAAGGGCTGCGCGTACTTACGTATATATGTACGTATGTAACACTAAACAATTTGAAATAATTTCCCACCTTCTACTCACTTGTCAGATGTATAATGCTCTCTATATCAATATAATAAATATATTTATTACTGTTTTAAACAATTTGGACACTCGTGGGTCAAAACGTCTTGCCTTTTTTATGATATTATATTAAAGACCCGCGCGTTTCTAAGAAATTAGTTTACTATTTTATTTTCTTTGGGCTTATGTAATGTCTGATACGGATTTCTTGTTGTAGAAATATAAACAATAAATAATAGTAATAATAAAACACTGTTTCCATTGCAGAAAAAATTGACCGTCGTTGGCCCTCTCAACGAAACGATCTCGTGCCTAGAAAACACTCATCAGTCATCTCTTCCCGCGAGCCCGTCGAATTGCTCCGAGCACCAGCGGTCCGGGGACGGCGTGGTGGGCGTTGCCGCGGGCAACGGGTTACAGAGCGGCACCGCCTCGCTCTCGAGCAGCAAAAGCCATTCGCCTGTGGGCTCGTTGACAAACACGATGACATTAAGCGGACAGCAGAGCGGATCCGATTTCGGCAGCGACTCTGAAAGATCCAAGGTACCAAATTGCTTATTTTTCCATCCAAACTATCGCTTTATAAGCTCATCGTTATTTTGATTTCAAGGATGTTCATCACGTGACAGCCATACCGGATAGAACCCACGATCGGGTGTACGAGTGCACGACAGACGTAGTGAGGGCTGTCATGTCGCTGTCGCAGGGTGTGCAGCAATCACACGCAGACCAGTACCTCGACTTGGTGAAGAAGGTGGGACTAGAGTTGCGGTCGCTTCTGGCCAGCGTCGACGACATAGTTGGGGCGTTCCCGTGCGCCGCGCAGAGAGAGGTCGAGATGGCGCACAAGGTGCTATCCAAAGATATGGCTGAGTTGGTTGGTGCGATGAAACTCGCTCACCAGTACAGTCGAACGACTCTGGATGCGGAATATAGAAAGTAAGATGATATATAAAATATTTTTGCATTTTTTTTTACATCGACAAACCAATGCTTATGTTGTCTTATTTTTACAAAACCAAAATAAGATATATAGTAATAAGGTAGATAGTAGATAGATTAGACACGAAATAATAATAATAATAATTTATTTGCTGTAAGAATTTACATAATCAGCATCTAAATCTAAAGGAGGCCGAAATTAAAATTTAAAAAAGATTCTAGTTGAGAAACCAAGGTATACATATAATGTCTATTAATGTTGACAATGCCAATTACACTAAAGTTTTAAATCCTCTGCAAAAAGAACACTCTACGAAAAGGAAGGAAAATATGTAGAAAAAGAGTCCACTCTATATAAAACTCTATATAAAAAAACAGAAAAGTCACTCATATAATATTAACTTCAAAGAAACTGTTTATATTGATATTTTAATGCGCCCACTGATAATGTTTTTAAATTGCGTGAAATATGTTTAAATAAAATATAAATATTATAAGTGAAACACCTTTCATAGTAGACTATGCTATGGGGCGGAGGGGATATGTAGTAGGGAAATCTTAAATTAAGAGTGTGTACATCTGTACGATATCGAATTTTATTTGTTATATACTCTGGCCGATCTGTAGTTATAATTTTTATTTATTTATTTATTTACGGTTTAACTAATTTACAAAACTTTTACATTCATTAAAGACAAAGAGAGTAAGACTGCAGTATAAAAACTAGAAATCAGAACTGAGGTGGCTTTTACTTGATAAAAATCCATTTATCAAAATAAATAAGAACTAAAAGTTCAGATTTTCACGAAATTATATATTTTGACATGATAATTGTTTCGACAACACCGTGTCTTTATCTGTGTCTTTATGTCTTTATAAAATATACATTTGATAAAGACACGGTGTTGTCGAAACAATTGTCATGTCAAAATATATAATTTCGTGAAAATCTGAACTTTTAGTTCTTATTTATTTTGAAAAGGATCAAGCTTTAAACAGTTGCACGCTTTAAGCATTCTAGTAAGGGGTGAATAAAATCTATAATTTGCACGAAGGTAAGCTATGCGGAACATTGAGCTACCATAGCTCCTGTAATATGCGTTAAATTGTATGCTATGTAAAAGAGCTGGACAATAATAGCAACCAGTCAGAATCTTAAAGAAAAAAACTAAATCACTCTGAGATCTTCTGGTTTTAAGAGTACCAATATTGAAGGCCTTAGCTATAATGCTATAGTTGATCTGATACCCATTATAGATATTGAAGCCAAAGATATCACGGATGCATATTCCAGTCTAGAGTGAACCAAAGAGATATAAAGGAGTTTAAGGCAATGTGGAGTAAGTTGGCCACAATTTTATGAAACAACACATGCGTGTAAAGTTCTGGCCTTCTCCATTTTGTTTCCTTTAAATATAAGTGACAGGTTCTCTACGGCAAATGCCATAAATGAATCGAAGGCATGCTTTCTGGACGCGCTGTATTCTGTGGTTGTACACTAAGCGAGCATCGGCAAAATTAAAATGACTAAGAACAAGTGAATCTGTCAGTTTGATCTTGTCACTCCTAGAAAAAGGATTTGGATACATTTTTGACTTGATATTTAAATCTTAACTCAGAATCAAAAATTGGCTCAAGATTCTTGCTCTGATTGGAATATGGAACATCATCGTCACCGATTTTAATTTTAATGTTTTGACACAATCTATCATTATGTTTTCCGAATAACCAAAAATTTTGATTTTGTTGCATTTATTAACAGCAAAAAACACCAGATTATTTAAGTCCTCGTTAATATAAAGTTGAGCGATATTTACCAAAACCAAAACTAACCAAAACTGGGATATTAAGTAGTCTGTGGATAAAAGCATAAAAAGCAACCATTTTGCGTGGGTAAGGGTGATATGAGTTCTTATTAAGTCCTCGTTAATATAAAGTTGAGCATCCGCATATAGATGCACTTTGAATTGTTTAATGCAGCTATTAATATCACATGTGTAAAGTGAAAATAATAAAGGGCCCAAAATTGTTGACTCCTGTGGTACATAACTGAACTTGTTTAGTTATCGGTGACACACCAACATTTGTCTCTACATACTGAACTCTCTCTAAATAGTTTTAAATTAATTTAATCGAATTAGGGTGCATTAATGATATCGTCAGTTATACTTAAGAGAGCAGATTGACACGTTGGTAAAGTGCAAAATCAGTCAATATGTTCCCTCATTTAAATTGGATTTTAAAAAATGTTTATTTAAAGTTATGGATTTGTGTAACTCGTCCGGTATTTTATTTGACTGTTTTTTGCAATGTATATTAAGATTTTTAAGTGCATTCTAAAACCGCTTCTAGTTGTTTATTGAATCTGTCAGACTGTGCTTTTCTTGGCGGGTAGCTATGTTTGTTTGATTTTTAATTTACGTCTCGGTGGCCCTTCGCTTACAAAGAATGTAAGAAGAATTGGAATTTACTTGGTAAATTTAATAGAAAAAAATTCGTTCGGTTACTTATAGAATGTCAAGATATCAGATTAACAGTAAATCAGAATTCTTTTTTTTACATCTGAGGACGAAGGTTATAGAACTAACCAGAAAACTACTCATGCAGCAGCAACTGACTAATCAAAACTTTGGTCACGATAAGTTTTTGACTCTCCTCCAGCGAACTATAATATTCATTTTTTCAGTGTTTAAATTTCCGCTCTGCTATTGCTGCATGATATTTTTTCAATCAGTTTTCAAGATATTAATTAATTATATTGTTCGTTAAGTTAAAGTTCTTATTGCTCAGATACTTGAGTATTTAGAAATCTGAAATCTTGGCTAGAGATTATCAGTATCCTGGGTATCGTACTCTGTAGAGTGTCGAATAATGCCTCCTGCAATATGCACAATGTTTACAAATCGTCTTACACAAAATCGGCGAAAAGTACGGATGGAATACCACGTTTATTTTAAAATAGGATAGTAGATAAAAGCATTTTCAATTGATGAATTATGTTCCTATACCGAAATGGTAAGCGTTTCGAAATAAAATCAGTTTTCTAACAAAATCTAATTATTTTAATTATTTGTGTAATACAGTAAAATGATTACTTTTGTCCTATCGTGAAAAGTAATTGTCGCAAAGAGCGTGGTTGAAGAAACTTATGACTAAGACTGCGAAGAGGAAATTCTGGAAATTATATCTAAATTTCTGGAATGCCTGCTATGGGACCAATCACATTCTTCTAAAGTCCATTTTTTGAGAAATGACCGTATATCACAGATAACCAAAATGAACAACACCGTTTTAAAGTTGGGGTACATTCGATTCTTTTTCATGGAATAGTTTTTGCTCTGTCTTGAAAAGAAAGTGGCCTCCGAAATTTTTCGGAGATAAATGTCAACAAGTTTTGAATGGCTGAACGTATTTTGTGGGAGTCGTTGACAAGCGCTGCCCTGATTTCGATTGCATGTATCGCAGCTAAAGGGCGTTTTGCGACATCACTACAAATAAAATTAATTTTCTTTAGGAAACTAAATGAAATGACATCTCTTTTATTGCAACAAAAGATAATCCAATAAGGGTGTAACACACAAAATAATGTCACCGTCTCTGGGAATATTTCATATATTATTAAATACTAGTATTGCTTCTTTTAGCAACAAAAAAATTTACTGTTAAAACGGCAACATTATATTTTAAATGTCAATAATGATTAATACTCATAGTCATATGAGTGAAATATATTAAAGTATTGAAAAACAATAATACAGATAAAACACTAACATCTTTCCGTTCTAATGCAGGATACTCCATTGTATAGATTCTAACAGAAGCAGTTGCGTTTTCAATGTGGCCACCAAAATACAGCATAAATGGTTGCAATTTTAATATGATTGACACTTAAGCACCACCATCACAATATTTTTAATTACTGGTGTACTCCTACAAATTTAAATTTAACAACGGAGACGCATTTAAATCTAATTGGTCATTAAGTAATAGATTCGAATATCTCATTTTATTAATCTCCATAGATTCCAACAAATTTAGTTTTTCGCTTTTTGATTGAAATATCAAATATCAAAATTATCGTCAAACTTGCGAATTTCTGAATTTAAATTAATGGCATATTTAGAATCCTAAGTTTTATTTTTATACACCTTTTTATGTTCGTTAATGATATTTTCCACATTGTCCATGAAAATTTCTGTAAGTATGTGGGTTCGATAATTAAACGTTCTTTAGCAATATAAGATCGACCATTAAAGTCAAAATAATTTTGATTTAAAGAAACTATTAAACTATCTAGCAATTCGTGTTTTATGATAGGGTGGACTTGTCTTGGAGTGAGATTATCTGTTATGTGTGTTACGTACAGGGTGGGCACTTTGGTAGAGGCCTGTACTTTTTCTCATGGACTACTGATTTTAGGAAAAAAAAGTTAAGTTTTATGGTTTAAATTAAATTTTAAAATTATTTATTTTTTATATATACAAGGTTTTTTATATGTACATAGTTGCTGCACCGACATTAGTTTTAAAATTTTAAAAGGAAGACCCCATTTATTTTGATATTTTTATAATCCTTGCCAAAAATAAAGGTACGCTTTTATAGAAACTAATTATTCAAATTTTGTGTAGTTTAGACAGAAATTGAGATTATACATTTTTGTATGCAAAATTATGTTCTGAGTAAATATGGTCTTCCACGGGTGTCAGTAATGATAACTTGTTCAAATTTTAAACACAATTTTAGAAGACTTCCTTCTAACAAGCTGCGATGACTAGGCATTTTAAAATTATACAGTGTGTCTTAAATTAAGGGACTCTTTTTTTAAATTCAAATTGCAGTATTTATTTTCTTTAATGAGACGCCCATGTTTTTGATTTTTTTTTCTCAAAGTGCGTCAAAATACCTATATTTGGTATATACATGTCCTATACCTAAATTTAATGGTTTTCGAACTACTGACACCTAATTATTTTAAAGAATTTTAAAAAAGCATATCGTTCTTTTTTTTTATTAATTAATTTTTACTAATGTCGGTCCAGCACTTATCGGACACCCTGTATATATAAAAAATAAATAATTTTAAAATATAATTTAAACCATAAAACTTTTGTATAAACTTTTTTGTTTCTAATATCAGTAATTCCTGAGCAAAGGCCCGTAATAAAGCGCCCACCCTCTTTACGTCAATTGGTGGAACGCTAGGAAATAGATTTTGGACGTCAAATGAAACTAGAATTGCCTTAGCAGTTGTTTTAATGTCTTTAACCCTGTTAATTAGTTTGAACGAATCTAGGTTTAAAGGCAATATGATATTCTACAATTTTTATTAATCTTGTTGAGAATTTAACTGATGGTGCTGTTACAAAAGATACTACAGGCCTTATTGGCATATCCTGCTTGTGTAATTTATTCCTACCTCTCGTTTTCCCAAAAAGTTTTAAGTTTCATCAACCATGAGACACCCGGTAGACTATGTCGGTGTTTCAGGGGCATGTTGGGGGCGGCCCACGTGCTCGCGATGGACTCGAAGAACCTGCTCGACGTCGTAGACACGATACGCACGCGCTACCCGCAGATTTGCCGACATATTCGCGACGACTCGGACAAGTTCGTTGCCGACGTGGGCGGGCGCGTGCATTCGACCGAGTCTTTGGAGAAGCAGGACGTGGAGAAAGTTCAGCAAGTAATGTTAGACGGTCGCTCCGAATCCATGTCGCCGACGCCAGTCGCATGCACTTTCGTCACGGCTCGCGCGTTTCCCAACTCTATCGGTTCGTCGCCGTCCTCATCGAGCATAGGCGCGAAACAAGTCGACAGTTAGTCCATCTAACGGACGACGGGCAAATGACGGTGATATTATTAATACGAGCGAGTCGCGTATATTTGTACCGCGTCGCAACATAGATAAACACCATTCAGAAGCCGCAAAGAGGATTCAGTTCAATATTTGTTGGTGGACCTAAACTGTCTGCACCTATACAGAGTGTTAATTAAGTACAGAGCGTCAAAAAAAACTATCTTATTTGTTTTTTTTATATTTCTTGTTCAGTAAAAAGGCAATTAGACGAAACTCGAGATACTGGGTTTATTAATGACAAGAAACTGAAATATTAACTTTCAACTTATATTAAACCTGTTACCTTTTGCATTTAAAATTGAGAGTAGGTCTAATTTCATCTAATTGACATGTTACTGAACATAATTATAACAAAAAAAATGTTTTGTTTAACACCTTTTTATTTTAAAATTAGTTACTTAATTTACACCTTGTATAGGTTTCGAGCGGTCAAATGGGTTAGTTTCAAACAGGTTTTCCGCGGACCCAGTCTCTTTATAATTTGGACTCAATGTCATTTATTGACATAAAGAATTATGATTCTGCAGAACTTGTCTAGGTTAAACGTTAATTGCCCTTATAAATTGCTCTCATTGGCACTTCTCGATGGGGTTATTCTTTGCAATGATTGGAATCATTTTTTTAGCTCATTGAAGATATATTCTACACCATATTTTTGTCGCTATAGTTTTTTTAATTTTATCAGTAAGGAAAAGAATGGACGAAATATATTATTTGATGTTTTCCAGTGTTTTGGACGTAGTACAAATATAGCTGCTTGTTTATTATTATTATTGTAGTAAGAGATTTTGCGCGGCAGCGGCAATTGGGAAACGTCACCCTAAGAACAAATTTTTGTCGTATTTTTCTATGAAAAAGTACTTAAAATATTTAATTCTGATTGAACTTGATAAACTAAGGTTTATATAAGTAGAAAAACTAAGGAAATAATCAACACAGCTGGAACTGGGTATCCTGTATATCAAAATTAAACTATTTTTGATCTGCACATCCACTACTATTCACCACCTAATTGACGTGATATTCTTTAACACTATGTGTAAGTTCTCTTAAAATTATTATCGGTAAAGCTTTAAAGTTATTAATTTTTTATGCATTGCACTATTTATTTTCGTCCAAAAAATGGGCATTGCGTTGCACTTGAGCCAGTAGGTGGCGCTGCCTGACGTTTCCCCGAAATCGCTCCCGCTCGTGTTTTTTTTAAATTGCCAAAAGTCTGAATGTGTCGTGTTTTTTAATTTGTGTCGTCACTTTTAAAAGTGTTTAAAATAAATACTAGTCAGAACATTATTAAACTAGTCCCGGGGTCTCCGGCGTCGTTACGACTAAAATACTCAGCTCGGACGTCGCGAAGACGTCAGAGACTGCCGACCCGCTTCCCCGCTCAGGTGAGCGAAATTCGCCATGCCCACGCGGCGTATATATATTTTACGAGCTGCGGATCAGTATTGACGTTTCGCATTATTTTTTACATTTCCATCTCGCGTTTTGAATATAGGTATTGTTATTATTTTCTGTTTGAATATATTATGATTATAATTTAGGTAAATAAATTTAAATATCGAGGACTTACGATGGTTTTCTTTCTCTTCTTTGCTTGACTAATACCATACCATTTTATTTCAAGTCTCCTACATACATGTTAAGAAATTATTCGAAAATTTAACCTTATCAATCCATAAAAAAATAGACTGGTGAGAATAACAGGGAATTTCACTATTTCAAAAACAAAAACAGTTTTTAATTGGAAAAACTGAAAAGCAGCCTCACTCCTGTAATTAATCAAAATTTAAAACCTTGCACTTATGAACTACTTTTTTAACGAGTTAAGAAGTTAAACAAACACAAAATAAATAATTCTAATGACATTTGTCTAATATAATAAATCTTTAATTAATGTTTTACCGTAAACCCATCAAAAGTGAACCCCTCTATTTCATGTTCATCTTGAAACACAGCTCTGTCAATTCTGGATTTAGGGCTGCCTTTGGTTTGCAACCAGTGCTTCCTAAAATATTGGAATATTGTAAGAAATGTGTTTATTCCTTCTTGGAGCCTTACATCGCGTTAAGTCGCTTTTTACTGCCTTCCAACGTGCCTTCAACTGTATCTCGGTCTGTGTTCCTACACCAGCCCTTGACGCCCAGTTTTGTGGCCTCGCTCTGGGTGTACTATAAAACTGCGAAATTAAACGACACATTCACGAAATGTGCATCTCACCTTTCTAAAGAATACTCCTGAAAAGTGCAAATGAATGTTGTATCTGGAAGTCAATTGTTAATATAACATACCTTGAACTCTACCGTATATTTCGAATTTAACGGAAAATAACTTATCGTCGGAATTCATGTCACTAACTTTTTCGTTTTCGGACAACTTCAATCCCAAAAATACAAATAACAAACAAAATTTGGAATTAACCATTTTATTTTTTTTTACTGCTATTGGCTAAGACTGCCAGGAACATTCGGCCAAGCATTTTGAGGTGAGAATATTTTTCTTTTCTTATGTTAACCGAAACCCTAAAATGATTCGTTTCCCATTTACCCGAATACCTTTTCAGAAGAGAGTAAGAGAAATTATTTGCTTCTATATAGAATTCTGTGGTGGAGCATTGCACGCAGCGGTTTAACCTCCTTTCGCTCCCGACAGAATCCCTTGTATTTGTCTCAAAAAGTTTGATATCGGTTTCCACGGTGTGGATTTAGTGTTCTGAGTGTTCAGTGTACGTCTTAAAGTGATAATCGTCGTCGGCCCCGTCGTTTTTTCCCGTTCACGCCGGTATGGTGGCCGGATGGGCCCGGGTGGTCCTTGGTGGAAGCGGGGGGAAGCCGATTTTTTTTGGTATCGGTCAGAATCGTTTTTTGCTAGCTGAGCAAATTATTGGTTATTTTTCTTCTTTGTACGTGGTGGTCATTGATCAGAAGCGAAAATCCTCGACGGAAGTCGGCAATGGGCGAATGATCCTAGCAGTCGAGCCCAACATTTTTTGTGAAACGCATAATTGAATTGAATTGAATTGCTTCTATATAAGGTCGCCGATTATTAATTTTTTATTCTGGTGAATCCAGTTAATTGCCACTTTTAGTTTACTTTTTTTAGATGAAGCTACAAAAAGTTTTGATAATACCCGTATAATTTACGAGTTTTCATTTCATTGAAAATGTCGCGGTTAATTTTATAATCGGGATAATTATATTGCCTTTTATTTATCACTTTTTTATTGTATTATTTTAAATAGCGTGTATAAACCCTAAAAGAAAAATAGAATGAAAGAAAATAAATAAATGCAACAATTATATTACAAAAAATTATAAGAAAAATTAACAACTATTTAAACCTAGACTTCTTCAGCGCGTCTAATGCTTTCGACGCCTTCCGCTCGGCCTCTTCGCGTATCTTCAAAGTATGCTTACGAACTCCTTGGTTGACTACCGATTCATGTTCTACAGCTCCCGAAACCCCTAAAATTATCCCTCGAAACCACCCTAAACTCTTCACTTTAGCCCATATTCACCTTTTTTTGAAAACAAATGTTCCAATATGTATGAGTCTTGAGACTTCATCCCAGTCTTGGACCTCTTCTCGCGTTTTGGAACCTCACGCTTCACCAAACCCGTCACATCCACACCATCAATCTTACCAGACGTGTCTACGGTCTTCTTTCTTTTCGCTTCGGGTCCTACGCTCGCTTTCTTCAAACGTTTTCTTCTTTTCCGTTCCTCTTTCGCGATCTTTTGGTTCAATGACGTTTTGGCACTTGCCTCCAAGGCTTTTTCAAAACTGCAACCAGCAACCAACTCGTCAGCATCGCCTTTGCGCTCGTTGAAGTTTAACCGGTTATATTTTACTAGTTCAGGCGGTGTCAACTCTCTCAACCTTTGTTTCTCCGTTAGGTAACAGAGTCTCTCCGCCTTCTGTGTGTGAGGTTCAGGATTCGCGGTAATTCCTTTGGCGATTTGGCGAGCCAATGCTTTCATAGCCTCCACCCTCTCTTCAGTGAATATAGACTCGCCCGACGCTTCGTCCGTTTGACGATTTTTCAGTTTCCTCTTCGCCCTCGATTCTTGCTTTTCCTTGTATTTTTCCTGCAGCCTAACCTAAAATAGATTACGTTAAAACGCACCCGCGTATTATTATATAATATGATCCCAAACGGCGCCGCCACTGACCCTGGACTCCTGAAATATATTGGTCGTCTCCGGTTTCGGATCCGAGGGCAGCGAAAATAGATCAAACAAATCCGACGACTTGAAGAACTTGTTAGTGCTTGGGTCGATTAATATTTTATTGCTTAACAGTTGCTTCCACACCTGCCTCTGGTACATCTGGAAAAATGTTTCAGATTACTGCCTTAAATTGTTGATATTAACACAAAACTTCGTCTAAAATAGGGATAACTAGGGAACCAGTAAAATTTAGAGAAAAGCTAGGGGACATGCAAGCTTCACTTTGTTGCACCATTTGTATTTTCGACTATCTCTTAGTAGGGAGAGAAACCTGAAGGCAATATATTCATTTTTCATATACAAAATTTTAGTCTCCTGTCCCAATCACTTATTTTGATTACCCCAAGTAAATGTTTTGAATACACAAGTTACCACAGAAACATGTATTTTTATTTGAAATCCTCTAATGTATTGTTTTTATTGTCATTTATTAACTACCCAAAACTATCTCAATTTTTATGGCAATGTATGGAAAAACAGAAGTGTGGAATGGAAATTACTCCAAATTTATTAAACAGAATTGGCTGAAGCAGTTCTAATGCTATTTTTCACATATACAATTGGGTGTCCCTTAATAGAATCAGTCTCTTACAAGAAAAAAAGATTCGCGGGCAAAAAGCTGTTTTCTCACAAATTTTTGACACCATTTTGAGGTTGCATTTAGTTACGTGTGCTTTAGGCAGCCGACATCGAGCACCTAAAGTTAGTACCCATTAGAATGACTTAAGACCGAACAGCAGTCTCCTAAAACCTAGTGTCGAGACATGCCTTTTCTTCTATGGTACCGGCAGACAGAAGCCTGTAGATGGTCACCGACTTATCCTGCCCGATCCGCCAGGCGCGTTCTCGCGCCTGCGTGTCTGTCGCCGGATTCCAATCCGGGTCATAAATGATAACCCTATCGGCGCCTGTTAAGTTAACTCCCAGACCGCCCACTCTGGTAGTCAGCAGGAACACGTCGTAGCTCGAATCCTGTAATCATCCATGCAAAGCTGTGATGTTTTCGACGATGCACGAAGCCTATACCTGGTTAAACTTGTCGATTAATCCCTGACGCGAGGCGACGCTGGTCGATCCGTCCATCTTCAGGTATGTATAGTGGTGTTGGACGAGGAACTGTTCGAAAATCTTTATCATAGATCGGCCTTGCGAGAAAAGCAACACCCTGTGACGTTGACGTTTCCAAATTTTTAACAGCGCAGACACAACGACCATTTTACCCGATTTTTTGTAATATCCGAAACTGTCCGGCAGGTCCGCGTCGTCCTGTAGGCGTTAACTCGGTCAGTAAGAACTCGTCTGACACACACACAACAAACATTGCGTGAATCAAACTCGTTTTAGTTCAGATGTAGAACTGTAACAATATTTATTCGTGTTGACCCGACTAGACTTTAAAGAAGCTTGCGAGTTATCTATTTTATCTTTTCTTTTAGTTTCCCTAAATTATTTAATTGAAATGTGGCAGTTTTTTGCTTTTTCTACTACTATCTAAGACAAATATATTTCAAAATTTTCTATGTAAAAGCAAAGAGTAAACAATAGCAAAGTAAATTAGATATAGAAGAACAAAATGGTGGGTCGTAAGCAAGTTAAATTTTAATGAAGTGCAGACGCTGAATGATTAAAATATAGCTTTTCCCGAATTGGTTGCTGATAAGTGCATCAAATACAATTCATTCTGCCGCGTTTCTCGATGTTTTAAAGTTGCTTCTTAACCTCAAAGCGCTCGCGTTATAAATTCGACCGACATTTTCAAGGGACCTGGACAACGATTAGCATAGGAAGTCCCGGGTACAACCCCACATGTTTGGCACGTATAGGCAGAAGCAATTAATAAATGAAACTAGAATTAGTTCAAATTTTAAACTATAAAAATCGTCAGGAAGGCATTTCCTATTAATTGTCCCAACAGAATTAGTCACTGAACGAAAGTGTGGACAAGAGAAAAAATAAATCTCGCTTGAAGGACCCTATATCGTGGAACTTGCCCCAGATTGTGCAGTAAAACTGGACCAAACAACTTTAAGAATTTATCAACAGTCTAAACTGAAATTTAAGCTAATTCACCTTCCAAATCTTAACTATTTAACAGCTATAAGTAACAATGAAGAAAATAGTTTTCACCCGCTAGTATTGGATATGATTCCACTGGATAACTTAAAAACTATTGGAACTGTATTGGAAACACAAAAAAATAAAATTAACGATATTAAAGAAAAAACAATAACTTTAAAAGGATTCAGTATGTAGACATTATTCCTTTACATCGGTTTGTTCCTAATCCTTCTTGGTTAAGTGGACTGAAATGAAAACTATGTAAGCCGAGCGGGGCAACGAAATAACTGTAGCGACTTACCTTGGTGCCAAGGAGCTGCCTTGTATTCTGGGTTCGTCTTCCGGGTACCTCATGGTGATGCGGAAATGTTATTTGGCAAAATTAACGACTAGCGAAATGCAAAACAGGAAGCTAAAGCGGAAAGAGCACTGCGAAAACTACCTTTCCAACAGCGTGGTTTTTATCGACTGCCGCTCGACCCGAAAATTAAGTTATGGGCCAAAAAAAAAGGGGGAACGCGTAAAAAGTCGCCCGTAGAAATTTCGTTGCCGTTGCCGCGCAATTTTAAACTATAAACTATAAAAAATATTAAAGAAAACATAAATTCTTAAAGTTAAATAAAAATTAATCATTAATAAATTATAAATAAGTATGAAACTTATTCACTTCTTTTAGATGATGGGTACATCGATGGAAAAGTAGGCCTAATCCCGAAGAAGGGTAGTTCGGTCTTAACGGGGAGAAGTTACATGTTGATAAAGTGCAGACTCTCAGTAATTAAAATATAGCTAGTTGCTTCTTAACTTCACGTTCACGTTGTAAATTCACATGAATTGTCGGTTCCAAAGTTGTACCTTATAAAGTAAAATTTATAAAAACTGTTTCCACCCATCCCATCACGAAACTAGCGCGTCATTTATATAACACTGGTTGGCCAACTACGCAATGTTTAAAAGTAAATAATTCTATTATATTTTGGGAATTCGGGGTGACACAAATACGACCTACGTTTTTAGCTTCGTTTTCGTCGAAAAGAAACAAATCCGGGTGGTTGCATAACTTTCGTAATGCGGTTATGGCGACCAGCATGTTTGCCCTTAAAGCGTTCTCGCTGCGCCAAGTTCTTGAACCTTTGTCGATGATGGAGCTCACCCTCTCTCCCTAAAAAGCGACCGGTGAGCCCTCTCATTTGAAGAAACACAAAGAGGTAACAAAATTTTTGATCTCCATGGATCACCGGATTCTTGACACCCAAACCCATAAATGTACAGAATTAAAAAATGTTTATTTTTTTCAGAGAGCGGTCATTTTTGCAACAGAAAGTGGTGCTGTCAAAAAAATGATGGTTAGGTTTCCTATTTTATCTCCTAATAAATTGAAGTAATTTTTGTATAGTAATACTGAAATTTCAATCATGCAATGGTGCTGCAATCCGGCGCGTTCAAAATCGGAAATTGTGTTGCCTTTACATTGGCAATTGACCATACCAGCAAATAATTCTTGTACAGGTCCTTTTGATCGTCAGTTAAAGTGCAAAATAAAACTTGCTCGCTCTTGTTGGGGAGTTGGAGGTAGTTTTGCACGTCGTTTTTTGATCTCCGCAGCAGGTATGGTGAGATTATGTTTTTCAGAGTGGATGCAACTGACAGAGCGGTCGCCTCCTACGGGAATATGTATTATTACTTGACATATTTGTTTTGCCATTTTTTCGCCTTAAAATTAATTTTTTAAATAATTTTTTTCCATTTCACCTAAATCTGGAAGGCAATCGCTGGTGAGATTAAACTTTTTCACAATTTAAGGCAATCTTTTTTACATAAATAAAAAACTTCAGACATATTTTCAATATATTTTCACATTCTGTATATATTAAATTAATTTTGAAGAAAAACTAGCATAAATAAATCTTGATCAAGGATTTTTTGCTTAAATACCTGCATCGAGCTGGAGTTAGCGAAACCACCCTTCAAAATCGGGCTTATAAAGTGTTCCTGGAAGGTGGCCAAATCGCCAAGTATCCCTGGGTTAGTAAAATCGAATAAACTCCATAGTTCCACCAAGTTGTTCTGCATTGGACTTCCCGTTAACATGATACGGTGTGGCGTCCTTAATCCTTTCGCCGCTACCGTCACCTTGGCTGATGGGTTTCTTACCTTGTGACCCTCATCGAGGATGAGATAATGCCAGTTGTACTCCGCAAAGTTTCCCTTGTACTTAAGGAGACCAGCATAAGTGGTTATTATCACTCCTTTCGATTGATTCATGTCTTTTATGAAGGCCGTTTTGTTCCCTAACAGTTAATAAAATAATTTACATAGGCATAGCAAACATAAGCTCTAACACTGACAGAGACATTTACACGTGCATCAGTTATTATTTACCTTGATGGGTGCCGGATTGATGAAGAACAGCGACTCTAAATTCCGGTGCCCATTCGTGAAAATGTTTCACCCACTGATGGATAATTGTAGCTGGGCAAACAATCATTGTGGGCCCTAAGCCATTATACCTACAATGATACTTACCTAACTATCACAGATTCGTTTTACATAGTTTTGTTCTACTAACCTGCAGTGGCTCGAAATAATCCTGCTGTACTGCAGTGAATGCAGGAAGACAATCACTTGAACTGTTTTGCCTAAGCCCATCTCATCACCTAACAAACCACCAACGGATTTCTGATGTATATCCCACAACCATTCGACACCGTCCTGCTGGTAACTGTCATAAAATATAAAATATGCAAAGAGCTACATAGAGGAACATACCCATAGAGTCTTTCCCAAAGTTCTCTGTGCACTTTCAGGCCACCACTAAGGGCAACATCTGACTCGTCTTCAAGGTCATCAAGTGTTTGTTGCTCCTCTAGTTTTTTATAATACTTGTCAAGCCTCGCTTTGTAATTTTTCACCAATGCGTCGTCTTTGTACTTTGCAATGGGTTTTTTTAGTGGGGATTTACTTTTTTTTAAACCTGCACTCTTGTTAACTGAAGATTTTTTGCTTGGTCGTTTTGGTTTCCTTTTTGAACTGTCATGATCTGCAAACACGCATTAACATGCTATCCATTGCAGCTCAAAATTATCACCTGAAGTGTCGTCTGCTGAAGGGACATATTCACTGCCAGAATTATTATCGGCAGCTGAATAATGCTCTTCAAAATCATCGTCGTGCTCTGAAATGGAGTGCTGGAGTTCGACGGTTTGGGATTCTAAAGGAGCTTCAGCTTGTGTACTGATACTGACATTCAATTTTTTGTGGCATGTATTGGGCGCATCTGAGAATTCATGACTCGATTCTTTCGTAATCAACGCCAGCTCTAGAGCAGCTTGATTTTCCAGCGACTCCTGACTTTGGCCCCATACCTGAATACCCTGATCATTTTTTAATTCTTCAATTTCCTTTGAAAATAAGAATATACAAATTCCATTTCAACAAACAGCGATTATACGAACATTCATATCTGAAGCTGTAAATGTTTTTGAATTTTCGGCAAACATTTTCGGAATTTTCAAAATAATCATGAAGGAATAATATGACGTTTTTTTATTAAATTAGTTAAAGAACATAAATAAATAACCTATATCAATTTAAAGCTCAGAATGGCAATTACCAGGCACTGCCAAATCAATTACGATAAACTGCAACTATAGATCAGAGAGACAAAACGGAATCAAGCATTTTCTATTTTCTTCTATTGGCCATCACTGCTAGAATGAGTTGGCCAGGTTTCTTTAAAAAAAACTATTAAGTGTTATAATAATGGGAACGATATTTTTAAAAACAACCAAAGAAATAACTATAAGTTCAAATTCTGTGACAGGGCAAGTGGCAGGCTGTATCTTGTCAACTCCGTATTGAATCCGCTATTGCCTTTAGCTATGTCGTGCATGCGCATGTATGAAATGATGTTCTCAAATTTTTTTCATAGTTGATTTACAAATTGTTGTATTATCGGCATAGACAGGGCCTCTATATTTCTAGTGCCTATATAGTTAATAATCGTCGACGGAAGTCGTAAATGGTCGAATGATCATAGCAAACTTGGCTAACAGTTGTGTACGTTTATCTATTAGAAATTGTAGGTTAAGCCAAAATTTGAATTTTTTGAAAAGGGAAATAAGGTAACTGTGATGTCTAATAAACGCCTGTGCCCATTCGACGAAGCCAGTCAAGCTGTAAAAAAGCAGGAGTTAAAGACCGGTTTAAAAGTTCGGGAGATAACATCCGTTGCATCAGAAAAAACGCTGCAATTACTCTACAAGGGGAGCAAGAAGCAATTTCAGTCGATCCCCAAGCCAGAAATGATTAACATTGCCTTTCACTGCTGCAACTGCTCCGTGTCTATCGAAACCGAAACGCTACTATTGTGAAAAAAGTTCCTGTTTGGATTGTCTGCAGGATTGCATCGACTGCAAAAACACTTTCTGCAAGAACTGCTCATTTTCCTTAAACGATGAGGATTACCTGTGCTATACTTGTTACTAATTAACTGCTTGCAGTTCTTTGGATCAGAAAAAGTATTGTTGAAGTTAACACAATGTTTAAGATTGCCACTGTTTGTTTATTGATGTTTGCAGTTGTATGAGCCTTGCTTTTGTATATTATATATATATTTGGCTGCTTAATAGTTATTGTGAATATATAGTATAAATGCTTCATTACCACATAGTTGCCTTTGTCTAATAAGATTTATTATACATTTTTAAAAAATTATCAGGATATTGTTTAGTAATGCCTGAAAATACCATAAATTGACTCCAGTAGTACACTTTTAGAACAAGTAAAGGAGTGTTTTTGTTCGAAAACTATATTAAAAAAAAAACAAATACTATCATTCACATCACAGAAATATTCTTATACAAAGTCTATTTCAAGTTCTATCTTTGAAAGCCAAGAAAATCAGTCAGGCGGTCATCCCAGGTGTGGAGCCAGTCGAGAAGTGACCAACGGCTTTGAATCTGCTTCGAGCTTGAGCAATCTGTTATATAATGCTCATCTCTAATGCAGAAGTAGCTTTTTATGGAGCCCCGACAGATTGGACACCGATCTAATCTGGAAAAACAGTTGGCACAGACACATGTGTGCCTAAACCACCAAAAATGTGTTAATCCAAAATTTGGATCCATTTGTCAGTCTACCTGCATGGCAAAATGGCCCTCGATAATGGAAAATACTGGCACACTATACAGTACTGCTGCTCTGCTTCTCTGTCCTTCTGGTTTGCCGTTTCATAGTTTAAACTCTCAGTGGACAAATAAAGTTGCTAAAAATAAAAAGTCAATAGTTAAATTGTTGCTGGTGTGACCACAAGGCTTTACCTTTAATGAAGACAATTGGCCATTTGCCTGCTTTAGGTACTGGGCCAAAATACGGGTAGGTAAAGTGCATATTGAATCTTTTATGTGAATTATGTTGATTAGTGCAACCTAAAATATTTACAATATTTACTATTTGTTATTATTATTTCACATCTTAAAGAGTGATTAGTGATATATAATTACCGTTTCATTTGAAAGAACATTTTGATCCCTTACATTCCTAATCACAATAACAACTAAAGGATAGTAATTCCTAGGCAGTGTTCCTGATTTTAAAAAGTCAGAACTTGTTTTGTTTAAGCTAACGGTGTATGTTTCCTCCGTGTTCGCGTCATTCCTGTAAAAGGTAAACAATTTTTTTCATCCAGCTTACAATTTGAAACTTACACTGCTTGCAGGCCCGATTGTTCATAATATCCATTCAAAAAGTCACCCCTAGCAAATGCGTCTCTAATGTCATACCAGGGTCGACACAAAAACAAGTGAAACTGTTTAACGCTTACACCCCAGAAACAGTGCACTTCATAATGCACTTCACTCAATAAGGAAAATTGTAATTCTAAAAAGAGACACCTTAGCTTGGTTTTTGTTTAAGGATGTTAAATACCTTCATAGGAAGCACTCTGTGCTCTCAGTAATTTAAACGTGAATGGAATCTCGATTCGAACCATGTTCATCTGCGGGACTTTAGGAGACCCACGTTGAACAGAAGTCGGAAAAGCCCACTCTGTCCTCTGATCTCCGACATACAACATATTCCTATACCAACAAGATTACTTATTGAAAGAAGCTGTGTAAAATTCGCGATACTTACCTCGTTATGTAAAGAAATATGGCACAAAAACCCAACGCCGCAGCGCAAAAAGAGAAAGAGGAAAATTCCGACAGGGTCAAATCTAACGAAGTCATCTTTGCGACTAGATGCACCCCAGCAATAGTTAGCGCGGATTGCGTTAATAATTATTACATCACAAATAGTAGATTTCAAAATCAACTTTTTTGTTGCTAAACAAGCTACTACTGTCAAAAACTGACCGCATTAAAATGAGTTTTTTTAAATTAATTATCTGGTGGTAGGCAAATCTGCCAGGATCATTCGACCAGTAAAAGAAAGGACGTCAGTAATCTCTTCTTAAGAGTCATTCTCCATAAGATTACAAGTTTCTCTAACATTAAGGACGAACTATATTCAACTATAAAATACCGAATGCTTTAATGCCAAACAATATTAATGAATAATTTTTCAATTGAAAGGGGCGTGTGATCGAAGTTATATGTCCTACAACAATTTTAATGTTTTCTCTGCAAACATCACTGCCAATAATTTGACCTTTAGGAAACATGCGCGTTTAAACGGAATTTGAACGGAAAGTCGTGCCAAAAGCACATGAAACCGTTAAAAAATTTGGTGCAATTGTTCGTTACGAGAGGTTATTGGTTTCAAGTTGTTCGAAATGATTGATGCTGAAGATAAAGAGGCAAGTAGTAATCTTTTTAAAGTCTCATAGTAAAACGATTTCAAGACCCCACTGATTTTTTGATCAATGTAACGAACTAAAACAAAATACAAAAAGCAAATAATGTAGGATCGTACGCAAAATCCGGGCAGACAATATTCCGAAGAATGTATAAAAGGATATATCCTTACATTTTCATTGATTTCATTTAAACCATAAGCTGATCTTGCATCTGAACATTGCAGGTTGTATTTGGTCTGTCTATGAAACTTTTAAAAGTATGTTACAAACATTTCTGAACCTGATCAGTGCTCGTGTATATTTTCTACATCTTCCATGCGATGATGGTCTTATTAGAAGCACTGAACTTGTCCGCCGGTATATTGTACGTTTTTTTTTGAATTATTAAAATTAATCTTTTTGTCAAAACAAAGGCAGGTGTACGCATTTCTTTTTTCGTTTTATGTTGTGATGTATTGGATATATAGTGTGGTATCAACTCCTATAATCTTATAATATGAACTATAAACCATTGACGAGTGTACAATTACTCTCCGGTTTTTATGTGTTTATTTGGCATAGATAATAGTATTAGGTTAGTTGCGGTTGAATTAGGACGGATTTGCCTCTAGATCATTGTCGACGTTATCCGCCCTCGCTGACCGATTTGGTAGGTGTATTTATAGAGACGTTCTAGACAGTGCAACCACAGAGGGTACGCTCTATCATGCGGAGTGTGGGAAAGAAAAATAAGTTAACGTTACATATTTTAACAAATTTTTGCACAAAAAAGAATAAAACAATTGAAAGCAAAAATATTGGTTTTCTAGAAAAAGCTTCCAAAAAGCGAAAAGTCGTAGAAAATGATTAAAACGTGTATTATTATGGTGAATAATTCATGTGTTTTTACATTCAAGATTATTAATTAATTAATTGAAATATGATTTTTCGCAAATTGTACAAATTAATAAACCCAGTTATACTTGGTTCAGTGCACTGACTTTGTATACATTCTTTCTGTTTTTTTTTAATAATATTCAACAACATTTTCTGACATAACTGTATCTTACTTTCCGTAAGTACATAGGGCAGTAATTTACATTCTGTACACGCAAATAGCACTTTAAGTTTAATTGGTTTAAATTTTAAATCTGACCAATGGGATTGTGCTAGGTACGGCATGTATCTCGCATCTTCTTTGCTTCTTTTAAAATCTGAATAAATTTAATGGTAGTTTATTTAATTTACTCAGTACAGAGTACAAGAACGGAGATCATGTCACAATCTCAAGTATATGGCACTTAACTGTGCCATACAGTTTATAATTCTTTTTTATATATATTGGTATAAAATATTACATAATAAAATATAAACTAATTACTATTTTACCTAGTTTACGTTATTTTAGTATTACCTTCGAAATTGTAAAACGCCAGATAGTTACTGGCGTGTGACACAACCACATATTTTGTCAATTATAACTCTTTTCGGTCACGATAACGAAGCTACAGGAAAAATTGTTTTTTCGAGGTTTCGGGGTTAACTAGTTCATTTCGTTTTGCTTCATAAAACTATTAAGTTTATAAGAACAAATGTTAATCGGTGTAAATGTGAAACTATGCTGTGCAAATTAACACTTCCGATTCCAAATAATCGAGAAATCGGAACATGCATAATTAAAATCACGACTAATAGTTGGCACCGCATGCCTTCTTATATATTGCTTGAGGAGGGCAGAGCTAAACATTGTCTCGGATGACTAATTCCCATATTGGCGAAAGTTAAACACCTGAGTCGCGGTTAAGATTGTTTTGTTGCTTATAGATTTCAATGGCTTCTCATATATATCTTTAGTAGAGAAAAATATTTGATGCTCGGATTCATGTTTTTTTAACCTAATTTACATTTTTTGTCCTGTTTCTCTAATGTATTCTTTGTCGTATATACATGTAATGCAGTAAACTTTATCTCAAGCGGAATTTCGACTTTGACGGGTCGAAGATGTTGAGGGATTTTTGTTCTTTGGTGGTAAATATGGTTTAAGCGTGAAACGTTTTGCGATGTTTTGAAATGGAACGCCTAGTACCTCTAATGTGGAAATTATTAAAGTGTAATTGTGTAATTTGGGGTTTGGTGACTCGGGTGGAGATATATGCAGTTTAACTGCTCTCTAAACAAGAGAGTTTGATAACCCATGATTTTTGGGTGGGATGGTGATATTATGTGTTCAGATATCGGTCTGTGTGTGTCGGTTTTCTGTTGATATGAATATCTAAGAATGGGAGATAATTATTATTAGTTTATAATTTAATGTTAACACGTATGTTAGGGTGTATAGAATTTAAATGGTTAAGAAAATCTCTGATGGATTCTTGACCATGAGGTCAAATAACAAAAGCATCTTCAAAGTAGCGTCTCGATAACTTTGGTTTTAGGTGGAAGGTGTCGAGGGCTTTCTTCTCAAATTCTTGCATAAATATATTTCCGATGATTGGTGATAATGGAGAACGCATAGTTGTTCCTGGCATTTCATAAATTTGACCGTTACCAGAAAAATATGTTTCAGTCCCTGTATATGCTAATTTTTCTTTACTGTAATTACCGAACTACGCCACTGGCGCCGCCGGTTTTAAATATACACCGTATACGTTTTTATTCAATAGCGTTCGCAGTCTGCTCGCTTTTCTTTGTAAATTTTAGGTTTGGTCTTTTTTTCGACGCTCAACGGAGAGTATTTTGTCTTTTTTTCAAATATTGGCAGCGTCCATAATAAAGCAGGCGCGCTTATTTTTAGATGTTATATCGGTGTACACGCCTCCAAATCGCGACAATAACATAATATTTCGTTCAGTTTTCCGCGAAAAATTCCCGCGTTATGGAGTTCGCCGCTAACATTTACAGAAAATATATTCAAGTGAGTATTGCGCCATCGAAATTTTTGTCGTAGTGTCGGGCATCTTGAAAAATTATTTCGTGGAGTAGAAAACAGCACGAAGGTCTCTTCCTTTTCAATTGTGACTTTTTCGAATTAGAATACATATACGGCGTGTTATTTTAAAAGTGTTTGACATTACGCAGATATTTTCAAGTTAAAAAGCGAGGTAAAAAGTTAATACAAATGCGTAATTTTATAATTTCCGAAATAAAGACGATTGCTGAACCAAATTGCTTCCTGGGGATTTTTGCCGAATGTGTTCCAAACTCAGCTCTTGTTGGGGGCTCTACTTGTATGACCTTTTCGCTCTCAATGGCTCATAACTTTTTGTTCGGCTCTGTATAATATTTTTGGTAAAAATAGAATTACTCCATTTTTAAAATTCAAAATTGTATTTTTTCTTGCGATAAGGAAACTAAGACCCAATAGTAATTGCCAACTGCGTTTCCCCACCAACGTGGTTGGTTTACTGGCATGTAGCATCATAGATTTAGGCATCGTGGTGACCGGTTAAAATATGTTTACAGTGTCTCATTTTTGATGGTTTTACGATGGCGTATTTCCCTTATTAATAACGATAACGTGTTGTGGTTTCGTAATTTTTGCATTTCTACCCATTCGGTTTTCCATGAACCTATGGAAAAGGTGCAAACTGATCTGAATATGGTTTATTACGTAGTATCCAGTGGTGTAGTCAGTGTTCTTATGAAACTCACAAATTTTGATATCTAAACTATACTTGTGAGTTTTTTTTTATGGAACACCCTATATTTAAGTAGGTTTGTTTGTTCGTATATTATATCCAATTTCTCATATTTGTAATATTTTGGTTTAACTTTAACCATAAGAGAAAGAAGAGGAGGCAGAAATTAAAATTATAATGACGAATTGTCATAACTGCCCTACTACGGTAAAAAATTGCTGCGTCTCAGATGACTATGATATTTTCGTAGAGAAGGCATGCTAACCCGCTAATCTGCTCTTTGTGCACACACCTAACTCCTTGTAACGGGATCGGGACCTATTTGGAGAAAATACTCCTGTAACCTTACTGACGAGCTAATTGGTTCAAAACGAGATTTAAAATGAATCTTGCGCATGCACATGTTGAATAGACCTCAAATTTGTTTCATTTCATGAAAAACTAGCCTTGGGTCACGAAAGCTGGCTTTATTAATAAGAAAGATACGCCCTGAAGCTATAAAAAATGTAATTTTCATTTTCGGAGCAATCTCTTTTCATTATTAATAAAATATTGTCGATACTTTAGTAGCGAACTACAATAACAATGAACGAAGTTCCCGATCGGGCCCCACATAGTCGATCACAACGATACTTCGTTACAAACTTACCGTCTGTGATAGCTTTATCAATTCTCCCTCGACAGATAAGCCGTTTGCGAATAAACAATTAATTGTTCATATTTAATGCGTTTTTTTTTTTTCAGAATGATTCTAACTCGCAACAAAGCTGTACCCGGCCCCCGCCCTTGGAAAAAGGTAGCGCCTATTATTTCGATTTATATACAGAGTGTTTTGTCGGTTTTTAATTGATTGTTTGGATTGGTCAGAAAATTCGGGAAAAAGTTTAAGGCTGTCTTATGTCGCGTGGTTCTTTTAAAAAATTGATGTATTTTACGATTAAGGTTTTGGTTAATAATAAAGCAGGAAAAAATCTGAAGGAAAATTAGTACAAAAGTTCCTACAAAACCAGACACATTAATTTCATTTCATCTATTCAATTCACATTTTATGTAAAACGTGAAGATGTTTGGATTTGAATGGACTGTCCTTACTAATTCTGTACATTTTTTTTAAACTGAACATTTTTTGTTTGATTAATATCGTCGTTTTTTTTTTAATTGAATGTCAATAAACCGCTTAACTTGTACCGAGATGTTCTCATTAATGAAACATCAGTCTGGAAAATCCGGAAATGCCAGGCAATTGTCCAAAATAAAAACTTAAATATATTTTGAATATTTGCGAAGATTTAATAGAACATTGTCATGAGTCTGGACAAAGTTGTTATTCCTTTTTTTTTTTTAGCGAACTTCGATGTAGATTTGGCCAATTTTTGCCAAACTCGAAGATCAGTCTTGAAAGAATTCGATCCTCTCTACCCCGCAAGGTAAGGTCTCTCTTATCAGTTCTTCGTTTTTTTTTTTATAGCAGTTGCAATTTTTTTAGCCCATGCACTAAAGTTGTAAATGTTGAGAACGAAAGTGGGGACCAAACTAAAGACAAATTGGAAACATTTCCTATGGTGAGTATCACGCCAAATACAGAATTACCGATATCAAACCAAGTAGAGGTTCAGTCCGGCGTAGATGCCGCGGTGCATTTAACTCGCCTATTAGTTGAGGATGAGACCTCTTCGGAGCAATCAGGCACCAATTTGAAACCAAGATCTGAGCCTACTGCGGCAAATAATATTGTGGAGTATAAAAAAGCAACCGTGAATGCCGAGAACGAAAGTGAGGATCGACCTAAAGACAAATTAGAAACATCTGCCACCCTGAGTATCACTGCACATGAAGAATTACCGGAATCAAACCAAGTGGAGGTCCAGTCCGGCGTAGATACAGTAGTGAATTTAACTCCCATATTAGTTGAGGACGAGACCCCCTTGGAGCCATCAGGCAGTGACTTGAAACCAATACCAGAACCTGCTGTGGCAAATACTATTGGGGAACGTAAAACAATTGTAAAAGATGAGAACGAAAGTGGCAACCAACCTAATGAAACATCTGCTATTGTGAATATTACGCCAAATGAAAAATTACCAAAATCAAACCAAGTAGAGGTCAAATCCGGCGCAGATACTGCAGTGAAGTTAACTCCTATATTAGCTGAGGATGAAACCTCCTCGGGGCAATATGGAAGTAATTTGAAACCAAGATCTGAGCCTACTGCGACAAATACTATTGGGGACTATAAAAAAGCAATCGTAAATGCTGAAAACGAAAGTGAGGACCGACCTAAAGACAAATTAGAAACATCTGCTGTTGTGATTATCACTCCAAATGAGGAACTACCGAAATCAACCCAAGGAGAGGTCAAGTCCAGCGCAGATGCCGCAGTGAATTTAACTCCCATATTAGTTGAGGATGAGACCTCCTTCGAGCCATCAGGCGGTGCCTTTAAACCAATACCAGAACCTGCTGTGGCGAATACCATTGAGGAGTGGAAAACAATTGTAAAAGATGAGAGCGAAAGAGGCGACCGACCTAAGGAAACATATGCTATTGTGGGCATTACGCCATATGAAGAATTACCAAAATCAATCCAAGTAGAAGTCAAATCCGGCGCAGATACAGCACCGAATTTAACTCGCGTATTAGTTGAGGATGAGATCTCCTCGGAGCCATCAGGTAGTGATACCCTAGGGGAGTGTACAATCGTAGAAGCTGAGAACGCAAGTGGCAACCGACTTAAATACAAAGTAGAGACATCCGCTAAAGTGAGTATGACGCTAAATGAAGAACTACCGAAATCAAACCAAGTAGAGGTCCAGTCCGGCGTAGATGCCGCGGTGCATTTAACTCGCATATTAGTTGAGGATGGGACCTCTTCGGAGCACTCAGGCCCTAATTTGAAACCAAGATCTGAGTCTACTGCGGCAAATACTATTGTGGAGTATAAAAAAGCAACCGTGAATGCCGAGAACGAAAGTGAGGATCGACCTAAAGACAAATTAGAAATATCTGCCACCGTGAGTATCACTCCAAATGAAGAATTATCTAAAACAAAACAAGTAGAGGTCAAGTGTGGCGTAGATGCTGCAGTAAATTTAATTCGCATATTAGTTGAGGATAAAACTTATTCGCAGCAACCAGGGTGTAATTTGAAACCAAGACCTGAACCTACTGCGGCAAATACTTTTGGGAATGTAAAAAAGCAATCATTAACGCAGAGAACGAAAGTGAGAACCAACTTAAAGACAAATTAGAAATATGTCAGTTACATTCGTTCGTTGTGTTTACGATTGTCTTTTTGCACGTCTTAGCGGTATGTTTCCGCAGTAGGTTCAAATCACTGCCCGATTGCTTTGAAGAGGTCTCATCCGCAATTAATATGCGAATTAAATTCACTGCGGCGTCTGCGCCGGGCTTGGCCTCTACTTGATTTGATTTTTGTAGTTCTTTATTTGGCGTGATACTCACTATAGAAGATGTTATAATCTGGATCGGTCCACACTTTCATTGTTATCAGCGTTTACGATTGTTCTTTTACACTCCCCAGTGATATTTCACGCAATCGGTTCAAGTCTTGGTTCAAATCACGATCCGATTGCTTCTCAACCACTATGCGAGTTAAGATTTCTTTGCGATATCTTTAAGTTTTTCTATTTTATAAGCTGATCCTCGACGAATACGAGAAGCGGATTGCAGAGCAGACCAAGCAATTGGAAACGTTGATGTCAGAGAAGCAAGCGACAGCTAAGCAATTTTCTAACCTCGAGTTGGCCTTTTCTGATGTCTTCACGTAAGCGCCATTTTATTTCGGTTAATTAATTTACTATTTTATATCATTTTATTGCAGAAGGTACGAAAAATTGAAAGTGATTATAGACAAATATAAGAGCAACGAGAATATTCTGAAATTGAACTTGCAGAGCTCCGAGCAAGCGCTGAAGTTATGGGAAGAGAAATACCAAAAGCTAAAGAAATGTTCGGGTGATGAGGTTTCTCGGTGAGCGAAAAATAATTTGGGTTAAATTAAAATGATATAGTAAAATTAAAAACGCTGTAAAGAATTCTTTACAGCGTTTTTTCTTGGCCGATCTAAACAGAAATTCTTTTTCTCAGAAAATCTTGGCCAAAGACTTTCATGAAAAAAGAATTTATTGACCGAGAATCCCTAAATGCCCTGAAAATAGTCGGACATTAACATCCATGGAAGTGGTGAATATTTAATACTTGGACCTATCTATGGCGAAAATATATTATACAGGGTGGTCACAAATGGAAAACTTTTATTTATATAGCTTTTATTACAAAAAATGGTAGTTTAGAAGTTATGGCCAGTTTTCTGCAACGACTCGTGTATTTTATTTTAAATCTAACTCAACATAAAAGTTTTTTTTATTAAATATGAATTACTTAAATTGAATACAAAATCTACAAATCATGCTAGTAAATAAAACTTATTACTGAGAAAACGTTTTCTAACCTCCCGAAACCGGCGTCTTATTTTTACAAGATATCCATGGAAAAAAAGAACTAATAAAATAGTTGCTTACCTGAACAGAAGTGCCCAGTTTTTATTCAACCGTTATTTGTCACCAACTTTAAAAGAAAAAATTGAATTTTACAGTGTCGATCAACTTTTATATCTTCGTGAGTAATAATAAGAGTCCAGCATTATGCCTAAGAGAATATAGCTTGCTGTATCCTGCAAGATGGGTACCCATGAAACATATTTGTTCACGAATTGTTCGTTATCTTGAACATGGAGTGATAATCAATAATCGAATAAAAAATAGTATATTATACAACAGGTGCGGTAAACGGCATTTGACTCACGAGTTTATTTGACACGAGCGGAGCGAGTATTTAAAAAACGAGTGATTTAAAAAGTTTACCGAACGTGTTGCATACTATACTTTTTCTACGACCGTTAGTTTTTGGTCAAATTTTCGCAACACACGAATATATTCACTTACATGATAGTCAGAATTGACAAACGTCAAAATTCAAAGCGTGGAAAATATCTCCGAAAACATCCGATTGCTCTCAAATTCGTACGGTAAAAACCCGAAAATGTCCGAAGTGGCTCGGATTCATGGGAAACGAAACTGACTTGGTAAAGTGACGCTTCCCGCACGCTAGATCGGTGGGTAATTAGGTATTTTACAGACGGGAGTAGAAAAAAGAAATTAAGAAACAGGCTCAGAGAAGTGTTTATGTGTGGTAATCGAATAATAGGCCCAGTATTTTATATAATCTGTGGCAGTGCGTGTTAGAAAATAAAATGAGCATTCGGAAAGAGGTAGAAAGACTTAACGCAACAGACGCGGTTAGAAATGCTATTGCGAAAATGGAAACCATATGCCAAAGATGGAGGGAGGTTATCTAAAAAATGTTTTGTAATTAGTAATAAGTTTTATTTACTTGCATTACTTGTTGATTTTATATTAAATTTAAGTAATAAATGTGTAAAACACTTAGGATAATATATTATAATAAAATACACGAGTTGTTGTAGAAAAATGGCCATAACTTTTAAACTAGCAAGCTATATATGTATATTGAAATGATACAGAATTAAATACCAAGCCCAATAAACGTGATACATACGGAATTTTTATAAATAAAAAAAATGTTTTTTTTTTGTTAATTGGAAAAAACATTTTCTGATGGTCATTTTTGGCATAACTGTATGTATTTTTTCGCCGTGGATAGGTCAAAGAATTATATATCATTATTTATTATTATATATTATGGATCATGGATCCATAATAAAAATTTCCAATTTTAGTTTTCAAGTATAAAAAAACACATTTTTCCAAGGCCTGTTTTTCGGCAAAAAAGTGGAAAAGTTCATTTTTATCAAATCTCAAAATTTGGCATGCTTATGTAATGACAAAAAATTCCCAAAATCAAGCGAATTGTAATTATAATTTTAACAAATATTCATAGCATTCCATTTAAAAAATAGAGTTGATTACTATCCTGGCACAACTGAACACCCTGTATACATAAAAATACTAGGGTCAAACACTTTTTGTATTTAACTTTTCTTCTCAGTGTAGTATTTATTGAGATAGTGTGTTGGAGTATCTTAAATGGACAACCCTGTACATAAGTAAAGTAAACAATTTTAAAATATGTTCTCCGCAGGCTTGATGAATGTAGCTTCTAAAGGTCAGGTCAAATGTTACACCCAAGTCTTTAAAAGTGACATTATCTACGTCCGAATTTACGAGGACGAGGACTATTTTGATTTATTTCAATTAAATATGATTGATTTGATTTTTTTAATTTTAATTAATTTTGAATATTTCGCAGAATCGCATTGGAGAAGGAGAACATAACTAAAGAACACGAGGAATTGCACACGTCCCTGAGGGCGATGATTAAGCTGCTCGAAATCAAATGCTCTTCCCTGGAGACGGCGCTGATGCAAAAGACGCGAGAGTGTCGAGAGTTGGAGGCCTTATGTAACGACATGTCACGCAAAAGCAAATAATCCCTTTACTTTGGCGCCGCCCGGAAAAGTTTTAAGTTTTCGAGACGTCACTATTCACTTAAACTTTATAGATGAGTTATTTTTTATATGTTACTATTTTTAATATTTATTTTTAATTTCGCCGCGGCCCCTTTGAATGTGTCAAATAAAATGCGAAGTATTTTTTTTTGCTTTGTTTTATTTTCCTTAAAGCTTTAAAAAAAGAGACTGCATTATTTGGGACATTAAGAGAACCAGTCGCTGGCGATGCCTCCGAATATGGAAGTGGCGAGCTGTCTCGAGGAGAGCGACTCGTGGAGCGTTTTCCCGGGGGCTTTCCGTGCTTCCTGCAATAGAAGAAACCTGTTTATCTGGCTTGAAAAATATTAATTTGCCTTAGTTCAAATACGTGTTTAAAAACATATCTCTAACAGCAGCACTAAGAAAGTAAAAACATGTGGTCAGCAAATATTTTTGCAAAATAGCATGAATCTCATTCACTGAGCGAGGTGTGACAGGGACATCAGAACTGACAAGCGCCTTAAAATGACACTGCGCAAGCTTGGTCAGTGCATAATTGGCTATTTTAAAGTAGAAGATAGAAAATTAGTTATTTTGTAATCTATGATATTACAATATTAAAATCCCACAATAATAAAAGTCACTTGGAAAATCAAGAGATCACGATACTTTGATATCAAAGATAGCAACTTCATATCATTATGATCAGTAATTACTGACTTAACACGTTTGCTAACATTAGCCATTTTAATGCATGCATATGCAACCCTTATATGACTCAGTTTGCAGCAGCAATTTATTTAGTTATCGCATCGCAAAACAGAAAACAACCATTACAAGCACTCATCAATAATTCGAGAAAATACTACTTCTCACGCATTTTCGACACAAGTAGCAGAAAAAAAATGTCCACCGAATTGTAATTAGAATTTTTAAAAATATTCACAGCATTTCATTAAAAAAAAAAAGTTGGCTACTGTCCTGGCACAATTGAACACCCTGTATACATAAAAATACTAGAGTCAAACGTTTTTGTATTTAACTTTTTTTTCTCAGTGTAGTACTTATTGAGATAAGGTGTCGGAGTATCTTAAATGGACATAACTAAAGTAAAGAATTTTAAAATATGTTCTCCTCAGGCTTGATGAAGGCTTCCAAAGGTCAGGTCAAATGTTACACCCAAGTCTTTAAAAGTGTCACATCTTAAGTAATAGCTTAGCCGGTTGAAAAAATACAAAGTGCAAGTAAAAAAATTAAACGATTGTTATTGTTAAAGTGTCGTAGTGATTACTTTAGAATTCTAGCAAACAAAAGTCTACCCTTACCTAAACTTAGGTGACCCATAAAAATGTTGATGGGAACGACCATTCAGTATTGAAGTACCGGAAGAACCATATCATGGAACTACAAAGCATCAAAATATTCACCCACCTTAATTTCCAGGTTACCGGAAGGCGGGGCGACCTTATGCGACGGCCCTGTGATCGGCAACAACGGAAACCATGCGTCAGACGACGGTTTACTTAATGCAAGTAGCGACGGCGTTATTTCTTGACTTTTGTGCTTGGCCGGCACTGTCTCAGTGGCGTGCGGCTGAGCGTTGTAAGGCACGAGACCCCCGAACATCGTCTGAAGCTGCCCGACGGCCTTCTTCACGTTATTCTGTAGGTACGAATAGAAGACATCGAGGTCGAATGGGTCGATTTTTTGTCTTAGCTCGTCGCAAATGCGCTGAGCGTGGCCCCCTACATCTACGTTTTCCCTGGGAACGCAGAGGCTAACGAAAAATCGCACGTCAAACAAAAACTGCAGCGCTGTTATCTGGTTAAGGGGTTGGGAGACGATTTTTTCATATTCGGCCAAAATGACGCGCGAGTTCCGCATTAAAAACTGGTCGTGTATGGAATTGGGCAGAGTAAACGGTAGTATTTGCGCGAGATCGGCGTTGAGCTTGGCCAGAACGGTTACGAGCGAAACGCTAGGCCTGAGCGGTACCCTGATATGGGATTTGAACGTTTTCTCCTCGGTTTGTTCCTGGATCTCGATCTCATCCCACTTCTGAAATTAGACCAAAATACGATTTTAACGCCGAATGTCCCCTAAAGGTCCGTTTATATGCGTCAGTCGTGTGACACGTGTCAGTCGCCTGTAATATTTTCGGTGTAATTAAATAGTAAAGATAGAACCTTGTGGTTTTTATAAAAGAAAAGTTCCACTTAGTTCCGAAGCTACAGGAAACAAATTTATTAAGATGTGCACAGGTGTCTCAGCCATTTTTAAAATATCACCAAAAAATGAAGCATCTAAGCATAAATGATCGACCAGCACTATAAGACATTTTACGTACGTATAATTCCCGAATCATTTTTTTCGGACTCGTGTCGTTCATCTCTCTGGAAAGATGGACGGTGACTTTTACGCAGGCGTCGACCCAATTCCCCCACAAACGGTCACTGGACGACAAGAAGTCGCGGCACACGCGATTCCAACCGGTAGCGTCGCCGTTAAATTGGCAGGACCTAACGAAGCTTGTGCACATTTCGCAAGCAGCGCCCAAAAATCTCGCAAAGAACAACGATTTCGATACCTTGGTCACGTCCATGTCGGTACTTATTTGCTCCTCTATAAACGCAGGTAACCTATGATAAAATTTAAAAAAAGGGCGTTGCGTGTAAAGGTATTACTGGATTTTGGAAATGAACAATATTTGAATGTACGTTCAATAGGGTTTCTGACGAGACCTGAGTGCCCTAGATGCAAAACTCGCTTTCCAACAAAAATTTGAAAACACTCTCTCTAATACATATTAACGTATTTAAGTATTATGGGGCAAAATAAAGGAGGAGGTAACTTAGCGGAATAAGATCCGCTTCCGCTTTCGTCGGTTTCTCGTCTCTAAGAAACAAATGCCAGCACATTACTTTTCAGATAAAGAATACAAGTTTTAACGTCAAATGGTTATAGATATGGTTTTTGATTGGCATTATATAGACCGGATATTCAAGTTTTTTCTTTTTATAATAATTGTCAAATACTTTCCTTTACTCATTCTTTCCAGTACTGATTCATTAGACATTCTGTAGATCCCCAGAATTCTCCTGTATAGCCACATTTTGAAATGTTAGAAGAGTAGAAGAGTGTCGAGAAAACGTAACATCGAAGGATTGTGATTGATGTTTAGGTTCACATTGTGGCTTTTAAACAGTTTTAAAATTTAATTAAACTTTGTCTTGCTTCTTTTATTCGGCATTTAATCTCTCTAGAGTGGCCCCATTGCTCATTAATAATCGAATAATTGAATTTGGGCCATATTTCTAGCTGAATCTGCCTGATAAACAGTTTCGGATGTCATTTTTACTTATTATTATGAACTTGGTTTTACTTATATTCATTTTTAGACGATACTGGTGACTGGCATCGTGAACGTAAAACTTCGAGATATAGAATAGCATATTATGCAACAAGTGCGGTAAAAGGCATTTGACTCACGAGTTTATTTGACACTAGCGGAGCGAGTGTTTAATAAACGAGTTAAAAAGTTTACCGAACGTGTTGCATACTATACTTTTTCTACAACCGTTAGATTTTGGGTACATTTTCGCAAAACAACACGAATACATTCACTGACATGACCGTCAGAATTGACAAATGTCAAAATTCAAAGCGTGGGAAATATCTCCGAAAATATCCGATTGCTTCCAAATCCGTGCGGTAAAATCCCGGAAAGAAATGTCCGAAGTGGCTCGGATTCGTGGGAAAGGAAACTGACGTGGTAAAGTGACGCTTCTCGCACGCTAGATCGGTGGGTAATTAGGTATGTTACAGGCGGGAGTAGAAAAATTATTTTTTTCAAAAGTCAAATGGTTTAGGTTTAGTTTAGTTAGGTTTAGTTTCCCTCTTGGTCCAAGCTTCTCAACTTTTTCCGTCAATTCAAAAATTTTCCACCAGCACTTCCCTTTCTATTTATTCACCCCCCCCCCCCCCCCATATCGCAAACACGGGGCCGTTGCTGAATTAATTAGATAAATTTATCATTATCCATCATTCTACTAATCAACGAGATGCATATACAGTTAACTAAATTCTCATCAAACAATATCGCGTTCGTACGTTCAACGACACTTCCGCTAGAGTGTATGGTATTCAACCTACTATTCTATGTGTGGTCCGCCCTTCGCAAGTGGACTCCGCAGACGGAAATTCCGCCTTTAGACCGCCATGTGTGGGATAGGACTTAGCATGACAAACTGGTTTAAAACTTGCAGTTGCATTCGCACTCTTAGGTCATATAGCTACTAGATAATATAGTGACCCTATTGCGGTAAAAATTGATGCGCCCCAAGCGGCATTGATATTTTCGTAGACAAGATTTTCCACGCATGCCTCTACATCGACGATCTGTTAATGGCACTGTTGAATGCCTCAAGGTCATTTGTTAAAAAGGAGATTTAAAATCTGGCGCGTCCTCAATTTTTTTTATTATTATATATTTTTCTTATAGTTTTTTGTATTATCGGCATAGGCTATAGGCTAGACTACATCTCTAGTAGCTATTTGCAATTTTCTAAAAATTGCTCGAATTTTCCACCTGTGGACATAATAGATAGCCAAGCAAATCGTATTATTGATCCACATTAGCAATGCGGCAAATTTAAGATTTTCACATACAAAGTTGTAAAAAAAAATAAAAACAAGATAGTTTTGTAGTTGGTGTGAAGGGCAAAAATACAAAAGATCTAAAATTGCCAGGGAAAAGATCTATTAAATATTATATTCCAACAACTCCTGCTGAAATTACTTTCCTTAACAGAGTTCAAAACGAACAGGTTATGAAAAATTTTGAAAAATGGAGAGGAGATCGCATCCTTGATAAAACTGACCACAAAAAGCTGACAATAAAAACTCATTATTGAAATCAAACCGGTACTCGTATCATATGTGACCTAAGTATAACAAAAATTTTGAATAATTATCATTCAAAGGTTCAGAACTGTGTGTCAAATTGGGGTTGATACATAAACACCCGTTCGAATAA